AAAATGCAATTAACTTTTTTTTTACATATCAATTAGGTAAATGCATGTTTATAAACCAAGATCCAACTACCTTTGAATTTTTAACCCCCCCCCCCCAAAAAAAATCAATTTATCAGTAAAATGTGCATATTCGCTGCTTTTATTCTTGATAATTAAATAAGAGGATCTAATCAAAGTACAATATCCGTTACATAGTATAACAGGTTTCACAATAAACGTCGATTAATGAAATTGTTATTTTTCAAGTTTTTACAAAAGGAGGTCGGATGGGGGTGGAGACGTACACCTACTTCATGCAGGATTTTGAAAAAGTATTTCTTCCTGCTATAAGCCTGTAGGCCATCAGTAGAAACTACAATATACGTTCTGTCTTCTTCAAGCGACAGTATTTATCTATAAATATATGTACGTATTTAAAAAAAAAGATCGTAAAAGTGTTCTTCAAAGAAAGTAAATGTTTACACATGTTTATTTTTATTTTATTTTTTATTTATTTATTTTTTTTTTTTTTGGGGGGGGGGGGAAGCTATACTGAATCGGTGAAAAAAGCCTCAATAAGTTGCTAAAGAAAATGCGATAGAAAGTTGCCTATGCCAACTATCCAAGAGAAGTGCTGCATCTCTACCAGCTTGTAAAGGGGGGAGGGGGGGTGTGATACTTGATTCGTGCATTTGAGAAGGACCATCCGGTGACATATAGAATTATTAATCGAATGACAGTACTTTTGCAGGTTTTTTTTTTTTTGGGGGGGGGGGGACTTTTTCAGATGACAGAAACGTTTTAAACACATTTTGTTTAGATAAATTCGTGTATGACGCCGCGACTCGTTGGAAAGGATGGGCTGGGGACTTTGCCCTTTCGATGTTATCTATTAATTAAAATTTCAAATACTTTTTCGAAAATATCTTTAATGCTTTCTCATAAAATTTTATAGGGAATCTGACATTCTATAAAATAGCGTTAAAAGTTTTAATGCAATCTTAAAAACAAACCAAGGAATTCGCATAAAAAATAGTCTAGCTTTTGAAAATTAAACTCTTGCTTGAATTGAATATTAATCGGATACTTATAATAAAAGTACTATTAAATATGCGTTACGCATCTCTCTCTTTCCCTCCCCCTTCTCTCTCTCGTTTTAAAATCATATAAATTAATCTTTCATTTGTATGTATACTGTCGTACCCCAAAACCAAACTGTTTGTGAGGCCGTTATTTAACCGATCGATGGGTCGAAAAAACGCATTTTGCCCGAGAACAGAACATATAGTCAATAAATGTTTTGTTATACCTTTGTATCTTGTGCTAGATTCCATGATGTAAATTTACTTAAACCACTGCGGTTAAAATTGGTCAATTTCGTCACTGTCGAACACCGAACACCAACGAATGCAAATGAGATTTAGCTGATCCCGGCCACAATTTTGACGTAAGCGGTCCAGTTTCTCATCGACAGGTCAAATATCTTACTCCGCGGCCAAACATCAATTTTTTTATGACCGCTCAGTACAACATTGGGAAAGTGTATAGATTTATATAGAAACAAATTTTTAAAGGTATAACAAAATTTTGTGTTGTACTCTGGAAATCTATAGAATAAACTCTGAAAATATTGTAGGGAGCAAATGTCAAAAGCGATTTGTGCATATGTGTATAAATGATAGAGGCTGTATTCGAATGATTAAAACTCTGTATCAGACAAGGGCGGTCTGTGAGAAAATGGATAATCTGTGAAAAAAAAATCTGAACAGAAACTTTGAGTTGGTAAAGTCATGGAAAGAGAAAGGCGCTTCACAGTTGCTGATCTTGTAAATGCACAGTTAAGCTGTGGAATAAAAAAAAAATAAAACATGGACACACAAATTTAAATTATGCTACATGTACTTGTACGATTGTTAGCAAAATAAATTAAATTTGATATAGAGAAATGTTTTTTGATAATTGGCTATTGGACTAAACTGTGTGATATGTAAAGGGGGATTTTTTTATGAAAACACCATGACGCAATGTTTTTGACGCTGTAATGCAGCTCCGTGGTTACCAAACATGTTGATTTTAAAATTAAGTAAATTGATTTCTGTTAAATCGAATGGAATGAAACTTCACATATCAACAAAATAAATATTTTTATATAAGAAAATGTGTTCTTTTTTAATGTTTCTTGAGAGTAATATAAAGAACTTTCCAATAACCCTCGTACTTGCGTAGCGTCGCTAGATTGACATCATAACGTCATAGTGTTATTTTCCAAAGAAACTATCTATATTCAGATAGCTTTATAGAAAAATTGATTTGAGATAATTACAACCAAGCCTCTGTTCTGTTCACAAGATGAAACACTTCCTTTAAGTTTGGCTTAATGGTGGCTTATAGGTCCTTAATGATGGTTTAATGGTTGTCTTTAAGTCACCATTAAGCACCTTTAACCTACATTTAAGTAATAAATACACCACCATTAAGTAACCATTAAGCCATCTCAAAGTCCTTAATGGATGCTTAAAGGTAGCTTAATGGTGGCTTAATGGTGGCTTATAGGTGCTTAATGGTAGCTTCTAGACAATCATTAAGTCACCATTAAGCCACCATTAAGCCAGACTTATAGGTGCTTAATGTCCAAACTCCATTAAGCTACCATTAAACAACCTTTAAGCCACCATTAAGTCACCATTACGCAGTCGATAAAACTGCTTTTACGGGTTAAATATTATTTTAATAATGATTTCTTCACAAAAAATTATAAATGTCGAGTTTATACATTTGTTAATTCAGCGAAAATAATGTAAAAGAAAGAAAATTAAAAAAAAAAATGAAAAAAAAGCATTCCCAACAGGACTCGATCCCACGACCTTTAGATTGGAGGGCGAACACTTTAACTTCTGAGCTACCGAAGCTGTTGAAATAGCAGTGAAATATAAAACCTTTATTTTTAACAAAACTTGTTTGGAATGGTTACAGGTACCGTACATGTATTTTTTTCTGATGTTTATATTTATCAATCAATAATACGAATAATTATATTTATATATATGTATATATTTTAAAAAAGAAATTTTGATAAAGTTTTATATTACGTTAATATTTCTTAACCGTGGACCGGAGTTCGGTATGATGGTGTGAAACAACTTTTTGATTTTAAGTAACTGAATTCCTCGTTCTGTTATTCGCCGATTTATAAGCATGAAAAGATTGAAATTCCACAGATATAACAAAATTTTGTTATTAAAAAGAAATATATCATCGAAAGAGAACGATTGGAAAAAAAACAGATTATAGTTCTTATAAATATGCTGCGGATATTTACGATTTTTGACAGTCTTTGCGTAACAATTAAGTTATAAAATATTTTTGTAACATATCTTCAGTTTTAATTCTTTTTATATCATTATGGGTATCAAAATAATTGTCTTTTTGTGTACAATCATAATTTCTAATTTGTTATATGCTTGCGTAAATTTTAAGTTTTGTAAAAAATAGATCATCAAAATCTATCACTGTACGTTCCCGTGTATAGTTTCCTGTTAATTGACCTGGGACTGGTGGGGACACCTAATTAAGGTCTATTGTCTAACTAGTCGATATACTGTACACTGATTATTTTACCCCGCTTCTCAGTGTGTATAAATCTGGTCGGATACCCTGTTTAATCTGATCGGCTGTTCTTCTGAAAATTGATTTTGAAATAACAATCATTGAAGACCGACTATATTTTGATCAATTCTTACTTCTGCATTATTTTAAATAAATTCTTACTTCTGCATTATTTTAAATAAATTCTTACTTCTGCAGTATTTTAAAAGAAAGGAAAAAATAATGGCACTTAACCACGAATTAATTCAAATTATTCATGAATTAATTCAAAGATTGGCAATATAATCTATACCTTTATATATTTTTCATATCTTAAACTTTTCTCTACCCAAAGAAAAAATAAGAGACAGAGAAATTCCAGAAGAAAATGACTCTAATTACATTTCCTATGAATTCGGCAGTGGAACGTGGCTCTCCAAACACGAAAGAAAAATATGTGATTTTTTTTTTTAAATTAATATATATAATGTATTTATGGATAAAAAAAATTTTAGAACAAGTATTCAAACAAACTGATTTTAGGGAGCGAAAATTTTAAGGCATTTGATGAAGCTGTTCTCAGTTCCCGAGTTTATACGCATTGACAAAGATGTTAGAAATAGCGAGAAAAAAATTATGAATTGAATAAGTATTTGTGGAAATGATACTGAAACAACTTCAAACTTAACAAGTTAGTTTAAAGACTTGATACTGGATGCGTTAAGGTGGTTTAATTAAGTTTGGACATTAAGTCACCATTAAGCTGCAGCTTAAAGGTGGCTTAATGGTAGCTTAATGAAGTTTGGACATTAAGCACCTAGAAGCTGCAGCTTAATGGTGGCTTAATGGTGGCTTAAAGGAATTAACTTCTATAAGCCACCATTAAGCTACCATTAAGCCACCATTAAGCGATTGCTTAAAGATGGTCTTTCGTCCTGTGGTTACAATTACGACCGAGACAAAAATTTAGCTGAATTAAAAAGAGGACATCTTAGACATCCTTCAAAAAAATCTTCGACAGATTTGGGGACAGGGCCGATTTTGGTACATACATGTAACGTACTTTCTTCTTTCGCCAAGCGAAAGGTCAGGAGTGTAATTCTCGTGCGGCTGCCTTTGTGTTTGATGTCAGTGGGAGGGGACTATTGAAATTGACATGTGAGGCCTCGTGTAATTTAAATCCATTAGTCTACATTTTTAAAATCTAAATTTACAATTCTATTTCACAATGAAATGGAAATATAAGGCATCACTGTCTAGTTAGTAGAGTATGCCAGGGCATCAACGATAGTTGGAAACGTGGGATAATTTGCATAACGGACTTCGCCCGTTATGCAAATTATCCCACGTTTCCAACTATCGTTGATCTACTAACTAGACAGTGATTCCTTAAGTGTAAATTATATTAAATTGCAATGGGCAGCAAGAGTCAGTGCTGAAGGATAGTATATTATTTATTTTAATTAATCCACTTCTGCTCAATGCAGAGTATACAACAACACATGCATATTAACAACATAACATACTGTAACATAAGTTGTGAATAAAAGTACATGTAAATGAAAGTTGATATCAATATGGGACTTTGAATTTATCTATGGCTACATATGACTTATAAATTCACACAAATTGCACAGCACATCAACATCTTCACATTTCATTAACCATAAAAATTGGTTACTTTTAGACAAACTATTAAAAAGATGAGATCTCAGAGATATTGTGGAGAGAAATTAATTATTGATAGACTATGGCATGAACAACCTAAAAGAAAATGTATTTTCATCTTCTACCTCTTTTAATTTACAATTGGGGCATATTCTCTCTTCTCTTGGTATACCACAATGTCAACCTTTTTCAATCATCAGATTGTGAGAAGAGATTCAAAATTTTGTTAAAATCTTTCTTTTCTCAAATTTTCTTAAGATTAATAAGTAAGGTTCTAGCCCAAAGTTTTGTTTGATTGTGCTGTATGTGTCTAATTTCCCACAAGTACTTAACTGTTCCTTTTTTGATACCACTTTTCAAGAAAATATGAATTAGGAATGCATTTACAATATATAAGGCTGATGTAGATGATTTCAGATCAGAAACTGTAACTGTAACTGATGAAGAAGTTGTTTGAATATATCAGTAGAACCAAACCATGATAATTTGTTTTTGTTGAAATTGGATATTGAGGCAGTGTATGCAGCTTTTAATAGGGGATATGTGTCATCCAAATTTTCTAAACTATGCCAGTAATTCAAAATATGCTGAACAATACTGAAACTCATAGGGTGTCTACCTACTTAGTAATTCCGAAAGAACAGCAAATTTTGTACTTTTGTTATTTACGCCCAATAGAAATCTACTGCAAAAAAGTTGAACATACTATAGAGAATGTACATGACACATGACTTAATTTACCTCTTCCAGCTAGATTTTATATTACACTTTGAATATTTTAGACAAATACCTGTAAATATATGCTAAAATCCTGATTTTGCTTGCAAAATTGTTTTTATTGACCATCTATAAACTTGTATTCATAATGATTTTCTGTCCAAACATACACTTGTAATGTATTTGAAAATTGTAAAAACATTCCTCTACATTTAAAAATCAAATCACTGAAAAAAGCTGATTATTGCACCTATCAATGCACTTGTAACTTTAACCAAATCAATATGAGAATGCCAAAGAATTTTATAATTTTAATTCATAGACATACTCGAAATGGAAAAATATCTACAAAGGATGAGATAAAAACAACATTTGGCACCAAATTTGACATGATATTATCCACACAAATAAAACTATTATACAAGTGGTTTGAATTCAGGACCTTAAGTCACACTTTATTAAATTTCATAATAATTTTGTCAATAGTGAGACATGATACTGTGGTGCAAACATCTTAAAATCTGTTAATCTTTCTAAGACTTTTAGCTCATCTGAGCTGAAAGCTCAAATGAGCTTTTCTGATCACCCGTTGTCTGTCGTCCATCCGTTTGTCTGTCCGTCTGTAAACTTTTCACATTTTCAACTTCTTCTCAAGAACCACTGAGCCAATTTTAACCAAACTTGGTACAAAGCATTCTTGGGTAAAGAGGAGTTTAAATTTTAAAAATAAAGGGTAGATAATCAAGAAAAGACAAAAATTGGGTGGGGTCATTATAAAATCTTCTTCTCAAGAACCAGTGGGCCAGAAAAGCTGAAACTTAGGTGGAAGCATTCTGGAGTAGTGTACATTCTAAATTGTTCAAATCATGACCCACGGGGGTAGGTTGGGGCCACAATAGGGAATCCAAGTTTTACATTGAAATATGTAGTTATAATCTTTAAAAATCTTCTTCTCAAGAACCACTGGACCAGAAAAGCTGAACTTATGTGGAAGCATTCTGGAGTAGTGTACATTCTCAACTGTTTAAATCATGACCCACGGGGGCAGGGTGGGGACACACTAGGGAATCCAAGTTTTACATTGAAATATGCAGAAAAAATCTTAAAAAATCTTCTCAAGAACCACTGGGCCAGAAAGGCTGAAAGTTATGTGAAAGTATCCTGGGGTAGTGTAGATTCTAAATTATTCAAATCATGACCCCCTCAGGTAGGGCAGGGCCACAGTAGGGAATCCAAGTTTTACATTGAAATATGTAGTAAAAATCTTTAAAAATCTTCTTCTCAAGAACTTAAGTGGCAGTATCCTTGGGTAGTGTAGATTTTAAATTGTTCAAATCATGACCCCTGGGGGTAGGGCGTTGCCAAAATAAGTGCTACAAGGGGGAAAATCAGGTGGAAAAACAGCAAGGCCAGTTACTTAGGTGAGCATTGTGGCCTATGGGCCTCTTGTCATACTTCTACACATGTCAAAAGAAATGTTAACTTATGCTTTATGTTTCTGTTTTCTGATGGAAAATGTTGCCAAATTCTGAAAATTCAATAAAATGAGAAAGAGGTTTGTGACTTACAAATGAACTTGAAGTATAACTTGAATCAGACATAAGGCTGTAGTAAATAATAACTTTGTTTTACGTCTCTTAATTCTTTGATAGGGTATACCCTCTAGTCAGACCAAAAAACAAACATATTTTTATAAAACATAACAGGATTTTCAATAATTAGAAAAAAATATTGATTCAAAAATCGCACATTAACATCAATCAATATGAAAGAAAACATTTGAACTTCTTTAATTTCTCCTGAATTTTTGATTTGTTCTATTTTTTCTCTCTCAAATGTTAATAATACTGTTGCCTTAAAAATGTACTGGAATACAATAATTCTGTAAAATAAAGAAGGTATAATTGTTACAAATATGACAAACTTGTGGGTTTTTTTAAACTGGATTTTCCTGAAAACCTACCCACCCGGGATTGTAAAACAAAAAATTAAATTACTGTGGCCTTAACCAGGTTTTCTTTCTTTCTTTTTGAGTCATCATGATAAGAGAAAAGGAAAAAAACTGCTAATTTATATTACCATTCAACTTTTATATGTTTGGTGCAATAAATAGTTAATCAGGAAGTTGACATGAAATGCAAACTTTTATATGTACAATACATTTGTACTTTCTTTACAACAAACAATCATGAAAAATGAAGCACATTCTTCAAAACTCAATGAAAAGGCAGTTTAATTCAACATTACAACTTGAATTTAGAGTATAAATATTGCAAACATATCAAATATGTCATAAAATAAAATGAAAGTTTTAAAACTTTGATGAATATCATCCCATGAAAAGGTGAAAATGTGGAACAAAATTTGATTATCTTGAAACTAAAGGGAATGAACTGTTGAACAGTGTAAACAATAAATTAATGTCTTAGAGCTACAGATCTGTCAGTGCCTCTTCATTCTGCGCTCCATTTTCTTCTGTTTTTTCTCATCTACTTCTGGAGCTGGAGCAAATATCCACGGTGCCAGAATGTTGACCCACAGCATGTAAAAGGCTCGGATTGGAGCCTGCAAAAGAATCACATGATCAACAACTATGAGAATATATATTACATAGACAATATGAAAATAAGGTATTGTCTAGCTAAAAGGATTTTGTAAATATAAATTAAACAGACCACAGGGGCTTGTCACAATCAACTCGTCTTCTTTCTTTTTGACCACCCGTTCACTATAGTGTAGGGTAAGATTAATATATTGTGACAAGCCCCTGTGAGCAGACTTGTGAGAAGTCATTTCCCATGAAACATTAAAAATACACTGTACTGAAGTGGTTTTCCTTTATGCTCATAAAGAAAAGATATTATTGGTTGTTTAGTATTTGTAAAATAGCCTTTTATTTCACATGTAAATCCCATCAGCACTGGTAATTAATATATGAAAATTTTGAATTGTATACAAATAGAAACGAAATGAAACAACAGTTAACTGTTAAGCTGATAATCAGCATTGATATACCCACTACAAATATCTCTCTGTTCTCTGCCAGTCCCTCCCCTAAAACTGAACATTGCTTTCCAAAAAAAAAAAAAGAAAAAAAAAAAAAATTGGGCCATAAATCTTGGACATTTAGACTTCAATTTAAACATGTCTCTGGATATTAAGCTTTGACTATACTTAAAAATATTTCTGTCAATTCACTGACTGGTATGGGATGCACTGAAATACAAGACGTGTTAAAAATATCATGTACGGGTACTAAATTCTTAATCCACAGACTGGTATATGTATCAATGTTGTATATGTATTACTTACCAGCAGCCATAATATCCAGAAGAAATTGGACAACAAGCTGAGACACATTACAATGCTTGTAAGCAGGAGTAGATCTTTAGCATGCCTGAAACAAATAATGTAGACATTACAATGCTTGTAAGCAGGAGTAGATCTTAAGCATGCCTGAAACAAATAATGTAGACATTACAATGCTTGTAAGCAGGAGTAGATCTTTAGCATGCCTGAAACAAACTAGAAAACTGACCAGTCAGCAAGGGCCCTGCCGAGGGGTAGAAATATAAGTGTGAAGCTTACAGAATGAGAATTTTAATTGATTACAAAAACTTAAAAATAAATGAAGAAGAATATGCAATAACAACTGTATTTATAAAATTTCAAGATAATTCCTAAATACCCAACAACCTGTTAAGAGTATCCCTGTATTTACATAAGGCAGTAAAAAACATCACATCTATAATAACTCAATTAAATGTATATTCAAACAAGAATAAAGCATGTGTTTTCTAAAATGCCAGCCTTCAGTGAATGCAAATATCACCCAAGCTTGACCTTAACTTCAAAACAAACATCAGTTGCAGACAAAGGTTAATCTATCTTAAAGTGACAAATAAAGATAAGCCTGGAAAGTTTTCTGCCCCATACAAGATAATTAATCCCAGGGGATTAATTGTACTGCTCTCTCATCCTTTTCTTCCAAGTTTACAATAAGAACTTTTTCAGTAATGATAGAATGAGTTTATTATCGGTACTACCTGTTAAAATTAATAGAATTCTTGAATTTACATACGGCAGCAAGAAAAAAAAAATGAATAAATAAATAAATTAAATAAATAAATAAAAACAAAAAAAATATCTTTATGTATATCTTGTTTTTAGAATTCAATAAAATCATAACTCATTGTGTATTTTACCAAAATAAAGTATGAACATTATTTAAGTCCACATTTCAGAAAATGTAAACATCATTCAGAATTGACCTTAACTTCAAAACAAACTTCATTTGCAGACAGAGGTGTAAATTAATCTCAATTTGACAGAAACAGATAATGCTTTGGATTTTCTTCCAAAGGAAAGTTAATTAATCCCATGGGACTGGTTGCAGCTTTCATAGTTTACAATAGTAACATTTTCAGCAGTTATCTCTCTTTGTCCTGGCATTCATTCTAATGTAAAGTTAAGGAATCTACCCCACCACCCCAGCTCCAAACTGGATGACAAAGAGAACCAAACTTAGCATCAAAATACATCTTACTGCCTCCTCAACCAACATACTAAATTTGAACTTAATTGGTCAACTACAAAAAAAGTAATTAGAAAAAAAACGAAAAATTTGTGGACAGAAGAATGACAGACAGACAGACAGACGGACAGACAGACAGACAGACAGAGTGATTACTATAGGGCACCTGCAAATCCTTGCGGGGCCCTAATAATGTAGACATTACAATGCTTGTAAGCAGGAGTAGATCTTTAGCATGCCTGAAACAAATAATGTAGACATTACAATGCTTGTAAGCAGGAGTAGATCTTTAGCATGCCTGAAACAAATAATGTAGACATTACAATGCTTGTAAGCAGGAGTAGATCTTTAGCATGCCTGAAACACAAAATGTAGATCTTTTTTTTTGTCAAATAGCAACATGGTAGACCTATGAAACTTTATTATAGAAGGAAAAAAAGAATTACCTGTCACTTATACTAAGGTGTCATGTTGGTCAAAATCTCACAACTAGTTTACAGGTATTTGTAAAAGCATTGCTTCATTGTAGGAAAAATTAAAATTGATGAAAATGTACTAGAATTTATAAACAAATGACTAGGCAGTCTTGATCAACTAAAGAGTTTTCAATGGATGTAATGTTTATTTTGAGCATCAAAGAGTATTCAATTTTAATGTCAATAATTATTAGAAATAAAGTTGTTTACACAGTTAATCAAACTGTTGTATCTTGTTTTCCAGTTTGCTGAATAACAGGGCTATGTTCACATATCAAGTTAATATCTCCAATCTTTAAAATATCTAAGTTTTTTTTTCAATCCCTATGGATTTGGGGTGCCCAGATTTTACTGTACAACACATATGCATATAATCATATTATATTGAAAGTTTACAGAAAAATGATTTATATTTACCAGGCACTAAGCAGACCTCTTAAAGAGCTACTATTTGACACCCTGATATATTTATCTGTAAAAGGTCAGTTTGTTATCACGACTTACTCTGCCATCCCCGACTCCATGTTTAAGTCAATGCCGCTGTCTAGCAAGGCCCCATCTGTGGAATATTTAGCTCGGCCCATACTGGCCATGAATTGATAGCTACCTAGGCACACAGCTACAGCTGACAACCACAGAAACTGTACAGAATTAAATGAAATATATACATCAATGAAAGATTCATGGATCTGCCCTTGCACTTGGGCATGAATTTCTGACAATTTTGAATGTACCAATGTGTTATTCATCAAACAGTGACTAATTAAAGAATATGGTGTAGTTTCAGTGATATGAAATCAGAACTCCAAGGCACAATTATCAGATCTGTAACCTTGCTACTTCAGAAAATTGTTCAGAAAGTACTAAAAGTGAATGCAGGTACAAATATAAATTTGCTTTGTATACAAAGAGAAAGTTTGAACTGAGTAAGACCATCTTAGCTGGCTAAACGGTCTGCTCAGTCTCCCTATAAATGAGTAACACAATTTCTATAGTTAATTTAATAGGAAACAGAACTTTACATAATTCTTAGATATTTTGTTTAAATAAACCAAATTATCTGACATGTCTGATGAACAAACAAAGGTGCTATTTTAACTTATTTACTCGATATCCTTTTATCAGTTGCATGTACTGGTACAAGCATTAGAGAACTGCATTGCTTACCACATAAAATGCTGTGAAAAATTCCCAGAAGAGAAAGTACTGTATCAGAAAAAATGCAACCTGAAAATATCAGATTAATCCATCATTAAAGTCATATATGGCATATTTTTATAAGTTCAGACTAACTAAAATTAAAAAGATCTTTCTGTTTGTTTTATTACTTTATATAAAGATAGGAATTTCCTGTAAAATACACAATATACATGTAAATTAGGGATGTCAATTTTGTCCATAATTCATATTCGAATATTCAATGAAAGTATTCGAATATATTCGAATATTCGATAAAATAAATAAATCTGTTTTATTTTAAATATGCATCATCCTACTCTCATAAAAGGTTTAGCGTAGGTATACTTATATTGGAAGTAAAATTGTATGGAGACATTTGTAGGTGAATAATAAGAAATCCCATTTGATATTTGTCAATGTTTGAAATAAATAATTGATTTAAATGTAGAAAAGTATAATTTAAACAAATGAATCGTGTATTCATAGTTGCTCCAACTGAGGAACCAGTCGTCTTACAAAAGGCAAGATAGTCGTAACGGTATACTGTTCAGATTTCAATACGTGTAGTAAATTACAATTATCTGCCTAATAAGAGATATGATTATAATCTTTGATACAATGTAAACAAATATTTCCATAGACAATTTTCCTAGGTAATTAACTAATTTCCCGATAATGAATATAAAATTCAGGATTATGTACAACCCGATATAATCAAGTAATTTACACATTTATTCTGAAATTAAACCCTTTACAATATTAATTACAGATTAATTCTATCGGACATTGATTCAATGATCAATTAATTTTATTTTGATAAGTATACTCTTTACGCCTTTTAGACATTCTTAGATTTCATTTTTGTCCTCGATTCTAGATCCGATCGTATCTAACTAATAAAAATTATGAAAGTACGTTTTGTATTATACATAAAGCATTTTTGTACAATTCTTTAACACCTTACTCATACATGTAATTTAGTAAATCTATAAGAAAGTAGTGAAAGAAATCAGGCGATCGAAATTGATCTCTAGTAAATTAAACAGGGATAATTCCAGCACTGTTCTAATCAAAATTTATTAATCACAGTACTTCTAGATCTTTTTATGAAATCTGAAAAACACCGAATATTCGAATCTTAAATTCATATTCGAATATCAACTCATCGAATGAATATTCGAATGTTCGAATATTCGTTGCCATCCCTAATGTAAATCAATCACGTTTCAAAGATATTAAAAAATTAAAACAATAAGCGATTTATTTACTGACTCTGCATTTAAATAACAGACAGTTTAAAGTCAATATAACTATAGAAACATGAGATTGTTCAAGTTCAAAATCGGTGAAAATTTTAATTCAAACATAAATAATATATATCATGTTTATCTACACTCAATCTTGTATTTTTATTTTTTAGCTTAGATATGCCATATATAGCTTTAATTTTTTGGTTTGATACCCATTTCTCAAGGTGGGTAGGTAGATATATTTTTTTATATTATTATTTACACATTGATAAACCTCATAAAAATCACAAACTTAGGAAATTATTGATGTTTAATTATACACCAGACAAGACCGATTTAATATTCATTACTGTAAAAACTTTCCACTTAAAAATGTCTTAGAGAAATGAAAAATCCTTAACTAAAAAAAACCCCGGATGATCTTGGGGGGAGGGGGGGGTTCCCTATAAAAAAAATTGAAGTACTAAAGAATTCATTAGGTATGGGCAAATTTAATGGTAGGTCGGAATATATCAAACAGATCATTTTTTATTGTTGGTTTATACACAAATAACTCAGCATCACTTTCAAATTGTATATAATATATATCTATGTTTTTTTAAGATTAGGTAAATGCAGATATAAAGATACTTACATTTACTCCTCCAATAACATACTGATAAAACTGCAGTGTTGCCTTGTTCTCCTCAACAATCTGTTTAGCACCTTTAGTGCCCTGCTTCCCTTTTGGCTTCATAGGAGTAAAATAAATAGAGTTTTATATTATGTCAGTTGAATACATCAAATATCTATAACCAAATTAAAAAAAAAAATACAGATACATATGTATATTCATAGCTCGCAGGATGTTATCAATTTCAGTATTTTGTGCATTAGGCTAGTCAAATAAGCCACTGAGATTGGAAAATTAGAGTAACTACGTCAGAAATGATAAAACTATTTAAAGAAGGGGTTTTTTTAAAATTAAATTTACCTTTAAAAAAATTCTATAGCAAAACTGAAATTTTGAGAAAAAAAAAGTGTTTGACACGTATCACAATCATTACCATATGTTTGTACATGATCACTGATGATTGTTCTCACTTTACCAATCCCTCCGTGCTCATCTAAGCACCCCCTTAATAATTCTTGTATGTGTTGCTTGAAAACAAACTTACCGGCATGGTTCCTCAAATCTAAGACACAAGCAGAAATATTTTTGTTCTACACGAAACACTCAAACAGCATTCCGACGTTTTCTACAGAAAGTGAAACTTGTTCATTGTTTAGACGAAAGTTGATGGTTTTATTTTCAGATACGTTGTTTAAAACGTTTGATTGACTTAGATTTTGAAACTATTTAGTTTGAAAACCTTATCAAATGGCTATTTTATTTCCGGCTGATACAGGTATAGTCAGTTGACGCGATGTTATGGTTAAAAATAATTGCATTTTAGAATGTTACATTGAGTAGCATATTTTTGGATATAAATAGTTACATTGAGTTACATATTTCTGGATATAAATAGTGTAATTTTTGTATATTTACTTTACATTTTTGTAAAACAAAGAAATCATTTTTTTTGTAACACTACTTCTGTTGATCAATGTTTTATATTTTGTATTGAAGCTTGATCTCTAGACGAATCCTATTGTCTTTCTCTGTTGAATAATTAAATAAAATAGAGTAAATTAGCTGCCGATGGGGCTCAGCACTATTTTACATGAGATTCTAATCGATCATCACTAAACGCTGGAGAGACGTCAAATGCAGTCCGCCAAAATGGTAAGCTTCCCTCTTATATTTCATCAGGTTTTTTTAATTACACAATATTATAAATACATACTGATTGATAATAAGGAAAACAAAGTCTTTAGATAATTCTGAGCGGAAACATTAATTTTACAATTTGCATTGTTACAAGTTTTATTGTTTTATAGGGTGTTTACTTGCAATTTTAACTGTTTAAAAAAAATCTTGGTATTATTTGAAACACGGTAAATTTACTTCTTGGATATTTTAACAGATATATAACAGTAACTTTTTTTTCCGATTAAAATTTATTCCGACAAATGGAATATATTGTTTGATTAACCTATATGGTTGATATGTCTTTTAACAATATTACTTCTTTAAATGTATTGGTTACAATTAACTTTGCAAACGCTGTAAAAAATTTTTTAATTTTTTTATTTCTTCATCAGACTATCTAACATCTGTTACAGTAGGATCCTATTTGTAATTACTATGATAAAATATCTTTGTACATTTTTTTCAATAAGTATATAATTAACCTACAGATGTACATGTATAGATTAGTTTTAACATGGTATGCACTAGTAATGTAATCACACGTTCTTATCATTTTGATGACACGTGTATATAAAAAGAAAATTATAGCAGAAATCTTATGACATGTTTTAAGTTTCAAACTATCGATAATTCCAGTCCTTAATTCGCACAGTTCATATACCATCTGTTTCTGGTGAACAATTGTTTTTTTGTTGTTTTTTTTTTGAATTTTGATTTATTTATTTATTTATTATTATTATTATTTTTTTTAATCCTGAATGAATTTTTATGGGTAATCGTAACATAACTGCAAATAATAATAATAATTTTAAAAAAAACTCGTATAAATATAAGAAATACTTGTTAAATTCACAGACAGACAGACAATATTGTCAATGATGAAAGCCATATTCCGTCTATATTTTACAAGTAAAATAGATCCTTGGGTGAGTAAACTTTTGAACAGAAAGAGGGAGAAAATACACTTCGTTCCTGTGTTTGCATTTCATTAATACTGGAGACTAAAGATGTTTCACACAACGTTAGTTTTATCCGATCTTCCTTAACGATGCGCTGCTACACTGGAATAGGACAATGGAGGACTCCAACAAATATCCGTCAGTAATGATCAGACCTGCCTGGAATTTTCACTGGAAGTGAACCTAATTATCCGCATCTCGCTCTTAATCACGAAGCTGTTTCCGGTTACACAGCGTGGAATTATAGAATTTTCTATCTTGAAAATGATATTGTCCTCGGGCCCCTGGGAGGACATGTTCCATGCAAGACACCGATTATTTTAACTAAAATTAACTATAAAACTAAACAAGAAGTCTTACACGAGACTTGTTGCTTTACTGCTTTGAATTGATAGTAGTTAGAAGTTGCACTTAAACATTTTACTTTTCGGAGTTTTACATTCACAGAGTTATCAGGGGCTTTTCGGTATTTTTGAGGTATTATATCTGATGTAAAAAAAATAATCTTGATTTGAATAATTAATTCGCGATATCAAGAAATAAAAACTGATTTTTGAATATATATATATATATATAGAGAGAGAGAGAGAGAGAGGATATTCAATGTTTTTGTAGATGAATATGGAATTTATTTCACGAGTGGGACAGGATTTTTTGATATTTTCACGAGTGCGAAGCACGAGTGAAAATATCAAAAATCCTGTCTCACGAGTGAAATAAATTCCATATTCATCTACAAAACATTGAATTTTCTGTTTATTACATTTTCTTTGATTTTCCCTTTGTCTTTTCTTAACACAGTGTCATAGCTATGCTTGACGTCATAGTTGAGCGGTTGAGACGTCATAGCTTAGCAGTTGTGAGATTGAAAACATTACATAGCATGGATTTTAGCAACATATTTGGGAAGAAAATTGCAGTTTTAGCTCTATCAAGATGTTTAGTTACTATCTTTATCTTATGACAGGCCAGAAATTATTTTTTACTTACTTTGATATCCTTTCACACTGTGAGAGAATATCATTTTGGTATTCTTTCACACTGTGAGAGAATATCATTTTTTTCAATAAATAAATCACAGTATTTCACTGTTGAAAATGTAATATATATATATATATATATATATATATATATATATATATATATATATATATATATATATATATATATATATATATATATATATATATATATTCACGAATGAATTTTTGATATCAGAAAGACACGTTCTGTTAAAAATAATAATAATAATAATAATAATAATTATTATTATTATTTTGATACCGCAAATTTATTCTCTTATACGACAGCCAACTGCAAAAGAAAGAAAAAGACAAACAAAAACAAAATAATAATTTTCTAATATATCAGAAAACTGATTTATTTTTCTCTGAAAAACGATTTTTTGATATAAAAAATGCTCAACTTTTTTTCTTAAGATTTTTTAGTATCAGAAGATATGAATAATATGATTAGATCTTACTTTAATAAATGCTCTGATTCGTCTCATCTCCCAGTCTTTTATTCATTTTAATCCGAGTAAATTTACTTTGCTGACAAGTAACTAAAGTCTATAATTTCCAAATAAGTTTTTGAAGCCTCCTCAGATTGAATTGTGCATTGATGTATGACATTCCATACGGACAAACACTTCTTGTTCTGTAATTAATAAATCACACACATCATTAGTTATATACTAATACCTACATACATGGTGGACCAGATCCACCAAGCTGTGAATCTGCTTCCTCAGTGTTACTCAGTGTTATATAGGATATTTGTTAAACATTTGCTACTGTTAGTTAAACAATAGTTTGTGTAAACCACTTTCTCTTGATTTGCTTACATGCAGTTCGTCACTAACTGTATGATTGTCAGTGCTGCTGATTGTATATTTGGATCTGTTATCTCTGTTGGACATTCTGGTCCTTATCTCCCCCCCCCCCCCTTCAAAAAAAACTTTTTGTAGCAATTTTTTTTCTCTCTGGGCGGCCTAATAATTGAAACTGTCTTCTTTAGTAAATGTTTTTCAATAATTTAGTTAACTTATCAAGTTTTAATAATAATGTTTAGCACTGTGGGACACTGTGAAGCATTTTATTCTTTCTTTAACTGTTTTCTTTAGTATGCGTTTTTCAATCTACATTGAAAAGTTCTTCCGAGTCAGTATCTAACAAATTATTTATTATAGCTCTTCATAACTTGCCTGTTAATAATTTCTCTCTCTCTTTTTTTTTTTTTTTTACAACTATAGATAATTTTTCTGGTGTTGACGATTTCACATCTTCCCGAAAGCTGGTGTTTGGTTGGTCTGATTGGTGTACGTCGTACTTCCGGAGTACATCACCTTCATCCTCAAGAAAAAGAACATCCAGTCAAAGCTGGTCATTCGTAATGAAACACTTTCTTTTTTACCAGAAATATCTATAATTTGGTTTGGCTGGTCATCTTGACTTGATGATATATATATATATACATTTATTTGCATTTTTCATATTCTGCTACGTTTTTCATTAACACCAGATTGATGTAAGCAATGTTATTACCAATAGCCATTAGACACTTCCATTGCGTGACTATTGTTTTATAGTCAGAGACAAGTACGTTTCTCTAAATCATCAACAAAAGCTTCAGAGAGAAGCCTGTCCTGTGTACATCCATTGATTATCCCCCAGAGAGCTTAGATACCTTTACAGAATACTTAGAAACCTTTGTTAGGAACTCGTGCTTAACATATTCACATGGCGACATGAAGTCCATATAAAACCCAAAGATGTATAGGGAATTTACTTCATATCTGGCATTAGATGCCTTCTAGATCCACGCAGACCAATAATGGTCTAAGATGAATACAGTATCAAGGGAATAGGGGAGGGGAGACGTGATGTATAAGTCCTCTCTCTCTTCGAACTATATATGCATGTCTTGACGATTAATTGGTAGAACTTGTTTGATCTTCTTTTTTTTTTTTTTTTTACTAAAAAAGATGACAATTCACTTTGTTTATTTTCAAATTACCTCATTTGGTTTCTTTCCAGAGCACCAATGATTCTCACGCGATCGGAAATAAAAATACCACGTACGTTACTTTCTTTTTACTCATTTAATTCCTATAAATAATAAGTAAAGTTAATAATTATTGACTATACCAGTTATGGGTTAGGGCATCAATTATTTTATGCTGTTGATCACCTCGCAATTTACCACCTTTCAACCCTCATTCGGAGAATTTAACGAGCTGAATGCATAAACAAATAGAGTTCTGCATTTTGATAGACTGGACTATTGCTAATGTTTTAACAAAATCGTAGATAACCATGAATTTATTGGCCATATATTGAAATAGTTTAAATAGACAATAAAGACAACACTCATAGAGGGACCAAAGAAGAATCGATGAAATATCTATTAAACTAGGGTATATGTAATGATGTGTGACGTGTATCCAAGACTATGTTCCCACTGGATCTGATTGACCATAAATTCGTAGCTGATCTCGGAACTTCACTGAAATTTAGGTATGGATACGAGGTGAAGAGAGTCGATACGTTCTTATATATACGATTTCTTGCGATTTGATGCGATACGGTCACGACTACTCAATTTCAGATCACATACCTGATACGGGATTGTCCGAACGATTCGATCTCGATCTGACACGATCAGCATGATTAGGGACGACGGTCTACTTTACAGATGCATTCGTATACTTTAGGATACCGATGCGCTATGCTGTGATAGGATACGATTGTGGTCTCGACGATTGAATCCCGACAGGTACAGAGTACATGTATGTATATAAAATCTGACCATAGACAGTTCAACAGATTAAACACAAGAAATATTGCTTGTAAAAGCAGATTGTCGGTTAAAAGCAAGTGTAGTTCGCTGAATGCGGTGCATTAAACCTTTTCTGGAATACAGATGCAGGGGCTCGCAACAAATTGTGAGTGTCCGTGACAAAGCATCAATATTCCTATAGACTCGCATCTATCTGGATCAACTCGTATCTGCTGGTAAGTCATCCGTGCCAGGTCGTCAGCATTTTGAAGACAGAGCGTCAGATCGTAACACATTGCAGGTGTTTGTTGATTGATTCCGATCATCACGATTTGGTAACACGATTAGATACGATATGTTGTGCGTTGTTACGATGCAATAAGATCTGATGCATTAATCACGATTGAACTGCATGTCAAAAAAATTCTACGATCGCGATTGCGACGACTGACCTCAATGTTTGATAGAATTGCCTCGATTAAGATAGCAATCTCACAAATCATGACAGTGGGATCATAGTTAAAGGAGCATCGATAGCTGGAATAAATCTGAGGTTTTTATTTTAGATATTTGATATCTAGATTTTTCACATACGTGAAACAGATTTTCTCAATCATACATTCATTCGACTTCGACAAAGGGAGACCTATACCACAGCATCTCTAATAATCAATAAGTGCCCCATTAGATTACATTAAGAAGTTATATTTAAGTAGGTAACCATTATGATTTTAAACTTTCTCTGTTTCAGGAGAACACAAGACCCTACTTCACAGTTTTAGGTGTGAGATCCACGTTTTGAAATCAACAATAAGAGACCCCAGTATCAGCTTGTCCGAAGCTAGAAATTTGGTAATTTTTCTTAAACTTACATGTGTCATATTCTATTTCCAATTTAATATGTGTTTATGACAAAATTTAATTATGTATAGGATCTTCCGAATAAAGACAGTGATTGTAGGCCGAAAATGACGACTGAAGATGTTTTTTTTTCTAACCAAAAAAATGCAAAAAATAATTATTCATATATCTGAAATATTTCATAAAATGGGGGAATAGCAAAAGCGTTTCATTTTTTAAGTAGCCTAAATAAAAAAAATTACAAATACATTGCAGATTCTTTTGTGCTCACATGGTTCAAGTGAAGAGAATTTCTCACGTGAGTGTGCTTAGTTTATATTGTGAAACGTGGGTATTGAGTGCATAGGAACATGTGAAATGAGGAAAAATGAATATCATCAGATACATGATAACTTGTAGAAGAATGCAGTCAGTCAGTACGGAAGTGTACCACAATGACAGCGAGAGACCTCGTTTTGGAATCCGGATGTTCCCCGATAGCCCGGATGTTGTATTGTCTGGGTAAAACAGAAGTTTCCAGTTGTTTTAAAAGCTTCAAGTCGGTGAAGTTCGTCGTCAGACATCTCCAGAGTGTATGTTCTAGACACAGAGAAGACCAATAAAGCATCCAGAATCCTTAAAAACGGCTTGAGATATATTATTGTAACTTAGATTCGAAAGAAACTGTGAAAGGAATTTAATTTTATTCCTCAGAGAATGTTTTTCTCACTTAAAAAAAAGTCGGAACTGATTCACAAGGAGGGGGGAGGGGGGTCACAATTATTTAACATATATACATGTACAAATATACTTTGTGTTTTGAAATACGGATCTATTCCAACAGAACTTCTGAAAACACCTGTATGTATTTAGCCAGGGTGTGCCCCCTATCACCACAGGGGGTCTGGTTTATAGTAAAATAACATCCAAATTCAGCGTTCCTTTTGCAAGGTGAAGTACCTTTAAACGGTTGCTATCGGGACAAAAACGTGTTCAATTGTATCTTCTCGGACCTTTCTGACAAGTTTGGAAAAACATCCCGCTTGTCGGAAAGGCCCGAGATGTTGCGATTGAAACGCGTTCGTGTTTGTATGGTTGCTAGCTGAAATAAATGCGTTAAGAAAAATGGAAAAAGTCAAAAAGTACCCAAAAATCTAGGAAGTTTCTGAAAAATCCTTGTGTTAATATGTATGATACTAAATTTAATTTACAAAATAACCTAAAGATAACAACCCCACACACTTACACACACCCTCTCTCTCTCTCACACACACATATACACACACACACACACCACGAAATTGGTTTTTTAAGGTTTGGACAAGTTCCTCAGTTTTTCTTTTGCTTGTCAATTTTTTCCCTCTGTTGAATGGGTGTGGACATCCCCCATCCCCGGAAAAAATTCTGGATCCGCACATGCAAAGGGCTGTCTATCGTTCTAGCTGGTAAATAATATATTTCTACGCTTAAATCCAAAAATATTACAATCAATACCAGACGCATATTATCGTTTTTCAAAGTAGAGGGGGGTGAGGGTAGCGAAAGAAAAAATTGGGGGGCAATTCCATTTTCATTTTAAACTTTTGTTGATATGTGGTGGTGTTCAAGATACTGCAATAAAAACTGAGGGACCAACCCGCTCTAGAATAAGAACAAGAATATTCATATATGATAACAGCAAAAGATCCTTCTAAAAAAAAAGGCTTAATTTGATTTAGCAGAAATGGTCGGACGTTATATAAAGCCTTCTAATACGCTCAGTACAGTATATAATATACGGCAATTCGGCATTGAGATCTTTGATGCAAGCAAGCCCTACTTTGATGATGTATCTAACGGTGCATCCTATACCAGAGTTGAATAGGATGCTGATCTGGCGTACATTTTTTTGGATGAGTGACAGGGTTAAAGCTTTTGGAGCAGTCCATTCTCAAGAAACTATCAACCATATCGTGACCAAGCTTGTATGAACGATTCACCGGTAGGGATGCGCTGTAGCAACCGCTCAGTAATGATAAAACGCCGCTTAACGCAAGAAATATCATGAAATATCATTTTACCATGATTTTAACTTTAACAAAAAGGGAGGGGGGCAGACTCAATGAGCATTTTCAATAGTAAAATGTTATATTTGAAATTGGAAAAAAGTTGGGGGGCCAGCTCCACCCCCCCCCCCCCCGATATGATATGCCTGTAGATTAAGGATGTTATTTGTGGAACTTGAAAACTTTTTAAAGACATTTCCAACAGAAACCGGTATTTGTCGTCTAATAGTAGCGTATCATATGTTTCTTCGAAATAGGCCCCAAATAGTTTTTAAGCAATTTTAAAACATGTAAATGTGCAAGAAGCTTTGGACATTTTTTCGTCTTATTAAACAACAATTCTTAAATTCATTTAAGTTTAGTTTCAAAATGTATGCTACGTTCCGTAAGGGTTAAACACTATGCAGCTAAACTTTTTTAAAAAATGAATTATTGACCATTTTGTTGAACCAGTGATGAAAACACTTACCATTTCATCCATTGTTTTTGTCCATTTTATCCAGCAGCCAAATAATTTTCGAATAGCAGTAATGTACGCTCATTTTTTTCTGATAACATCCATTTAGGTACAATACAGGACTGTGAAACTCATCCAAATAATTTTTTTCTTTTTCTCTCTCTGCATAATTTGTTATACATTGAAGTTTCCAGTTTTACTTTACAGAGATTTTTTTCTTTTTACATACATCTTATACTTATAAATTAATAAATTTTGCAAATAAACTCCGAAACGGATGCACCAGAGTGTTCACTTACTCCTCTGAGAATATACTAGATACAATATGATGTCCGTTAACTATATTTAGATTTCACTCGCATTGTAAGTATCGTACATTAAATTAAAAGTCTACTTTTATTTTCTATAAGCAGCCATGAAATAGCAAAAACGTGAGTATGGTGGCGTTTCCGGTTGGCGGATCTAAGTTTCAGGCAATTTTTTATGAAACTGACAACAATCAATCGCGTATTTATTTCATAAAACGTCATCACTGAATTATTCAATCAAAACTTGATTTAAATGACATAAAAGAAATAAGTTGTGATAACCGATTAAAAAGGAAAATGTGCAAATTATTTTTGTCATTCACCGATCTTGATATTGACGGAAGCTTCTAGAACATCATATAGCATCGAGCCCGATGTTAAAAAGAAAAACGAGACAATTATAGCTGTAGGAACATAAAAAAAGCTAATGTGTGAATGGTCATTGAAAAAATGGTAAATCATTGATAACACTATAAGTTGTGAATATATTTATATATCGAAAGACTATTATACATATATGTAGTAGGTTTTCCTAATAAATTTATCGGTAAAATGTGTATATATTCCTCACTGCTTACATGAAAAGAGCAAATTAATGAATAAGATATTGTTCAAATACAATTGAAGCTGTAAAATTTTGTGCTTTAATCAATACATTTCAGTTTTGTTTTGTTTTGTTTTGTTTTGTTTGTTTTTTGGGGGGTTTTTTTTTTTTGGTTTTTTTTTTTTTTTTTTTTGAATACTCGGCCTATTCATAGGGCGTTAAGGACATACGCAATGTAGATTGAACTTTATTGTCTTTTTCCCTGGAGTTGAAGGGTTCTAATACTTAAAGGAACTGTGTGCTTCATTTTAATGTCTATATATGCTGTTGTACACTTCTTTTAAAACAAATTTGGATAAACAAAACAATTAGAATATATGTATTAGTAATTTTTGTATATTTTTCTTTGAATTTTACAAGAATTTTCATCAGCTGATATCTTTTCAAAACCCCTGGTAATGCAAGCTGCTTTTTTGTTTATGAACATCTGATGGCACTTTAATCTTAAATTAAGAATATCTTGAAAAATTATCAGTAGGTAAGGTACGTTGCGTATGTCCTTAATAATTAAAAGCTAATTTTTACACAGATACTTGCGTCTTGGTTTATATATATGTATGAACCTTATTGATATGTAAAAAAGGTAAAGTACATTTTTTACATATCAATAAGGTACATACATATTTATAAACCAAGACACGAGTACCTGTGAATTTTTACCCCCCCCCCCCCCCAAAAAAATTAATTTATCGGCAGTAAAATGTGCATATTCGCTGCTTTTAATTTATCCTTGACGGAAATGAAATAAGAGCATACAATATATCCATAACATAGTATGACAGGTTTCATAATAAACATCAAGTAATGAAATTGTGTGTCAAGTTTTTGCAAAAGGGGGGGGGGGGGGAGGGGGGTGGAGACGCACATGAGGGATTTTGAACAAAGCATTTCTTCCTGCTATAACCCTGTAGGCTGTCAGTAGAAACTACAATATATTTTCTGTCGGTAGTGGTATAAATTCAATTCCCCGCGCTTGCGCGGGATTTCATCTAGTGAACGTTTATTTTTTTTCCTTGCTTAATGATTTTGTATTGCATTCTTTTGGTTTGAACATATTTTATTGTAATTTCTTATTACAAAGGGATTGGGAAATAAGTTATATATAGTTATAACGCCCTCTCCCCCATTCCTTTCGTACATATATTTAAATTTAATATCAAAAACTATAATTGAAAAAAAAATTGAACTAAATTTTAAACATCTATCATTTACTGATTATTGCTCTTTTCACATGAAATTGCTAGAAATGCAAAATATATTAAAAGACGATTACTTGAGGAAATGTTTGACAACAAATTTAAGTATGGAAATGAATGTATTTATTATCATTATTATTATTTTTTTTTTTAGCTTTTGGATCATCTCTGATATTCTTAAAATATCCATTGTGTATTGAATTGTAATAAAAGGAATATACTCATAGTTATTCATGAGTATCCAACTCGGGATAATATATAACCCTGCTCCACTTACATATGTATGCAAAATCCAAAGATTGAGCTGTATTTATGAAACGAAAGAGGCTCATGAGCATAGTCCTCATGCAAACAGTTTGGTTCGAGAGTTCGGTAAAACGCATTTTGCACGAAGAATCCAGTTAATAATTGTTTGTCAAACCGTTTACTTTTTATTTTTATTCCTCCCTGCTTCCATGTTTATAATGAATATGACTAAATTTTGATATAATTTCGCTTACCCGCACTGCAGATATAACTCAGTCATTTCTGTATCTGTTGAACACCAACGATTGCAAATCTGCCCGCTACGTTAAGGAATATAGTGTGACGTAAAAACGCCATAGCGGTCCAACATCTCATCGCCCGGTCCATTATCTCACCGAGCAGTTCAACATTAACCTTTTCCATAAAACGTTATACTTTATTTATAGGAAACAATTTTAAAAGGTAAAACAAAAGATTTTTTCCCTCTTTATTCCCATGCAAAATTTTGGCCCAAGATTGAGATCCAAACCTAGCCTCAAGTGGTTTTAATTTAACCAAACTTTGATCCACACATTAGGATACTTCATTATCAGTATAACTAATATGGTCCTGCTGTTCTACATGGAGAAGAATAATTAAAGATCTTCCCCCCAATACACATCCACCCCATAACCCAGGGTCCAGAATTTAAAAGAAAAAAGGTCCATCAAACTTAGGAATGTTTGCATATTTTGATGTTGAAATATGAATTAGTGTTGCCCTGCTACTCTTGAAAAGATTTTTTCCTGTAAAGTTTGTACAAATTATGCCCCCTGGGGGTAGGATGGTGCCAAAACAGGGAATATAAGTTTTACATGAGAATATATGTATGTAGGAAAATAATCTTTAAGGGTCTTCTCAAGAACAGCAGGGCCATGATTAGTCATAAAAATATGCAAACGTCCTCACCTAGTGTAGATTCAAGTTTCTTCAAACCATAGCCCCGGCCACAATTGGGGATTAAACTATTACATGGGAATACATAAAAAAAACTTTTTCTCAGTAAGCATTGGGCCATGATTTGTCATACATGTATTAATATGCCAAGCATTGTAATATAATGCACATTCATATTTTTTAAAATCATGATCCCTGGAACTCCAAAATAGTGACTAAAGATTTAAAATTAGAAGGGCCACACTAAATCACATTGATATGCAAACACTCTCTTGTCCTTCATATTAATATTTTTCTCCAAATTATTAACCTTGGGTTAGATTGGGGCTAACATTGGGGATCAAATTTTACATAATTCAGTATTCAAGAATTTTTAAAATTGTATCTTCTTCTCCCAAAAAGTAGACCATGTTAGTCATATTGAAATGGAAGCATCCCCATTTTGTGTGGGTTCAAGTTCAGTTAAGTAATGACCCTTTTTTCCAAAATTTTTCATGGAAATAAAGAGGGGAAACTTTTAAAAATATTCTTTCTGAAGAATAGCTGGGCCAGTGATTCAGGTGAGTATTATGGCCCATGTGCTCTTGTCATGGCCTTGCTGTTCTAATAAAAATATTTTTAAAGATTTTTTTCTAAATATTAATTTCAATGTAAAACTTTGTGCCCCCCCCCCCCCCTACCCCCGGGACCATGATTTGAATAAACTTGAATCTACACTAGCTACGGATGCTTCTATATTTTGACTACTCATGGCCCTGCTTTCTTGAAAAGATTTTTAATTCTTTTTTAAATATACCTGTTAAACTTTGATTTGTCTATTGTGGCACCAACCTACCTCATGGGTCATGATTTGAACAAACTATTATTTACACTTTGTCAGGAAGCTTTCAAATAAGTTTCATTTTTTTCTAGCTGAGTGGTTCTTGAAAAGATTTTTAAAAGAGGCCACCAAATTATCACCAATTTTTAATTAACTCCCCTAGAGCCACAGATTCAGGTAGCTCAGTTGGTAGAGCACCTGACTGGAGATTCAAGGGGCCCGGGTTCAAATCCTGGTCTGGTCCGTCGCATTTTTCTCCTCTCCTGTTACATTTGGTGCCGTGCCTACTCCAGCATGCTAGAGGTTCACAGCGAGATACTTTTGACTTGGCGCCGAGGTATATAACGAGCGTAGGGACATTAACCGAGGCTCTTACTTGTAGGAGTAGTGCCGTGCCATGCCCTGGAAGTGACAGGTGAAAGACCTGCCAGGGAAGAGCCTGGGTTGGTGTCTTCGGGAGACGAGAACCTTTAAGGAGGGAGAAATATGGCAGTCAGATGGATTCAATAGCCGGTGGCTAGACAGCTCACTCGGAAGACCACCTGACTGGAGATTCTGAGGGCCCAGGTTCAAATCCCTTACTGGTCTGCACATTTTTCTCCTCTCCTGTTACATAATAAAGGTAAAATTACAGTCATTTATGTACTAAAATGAGGTTCTCTAAATTGCCGATTCTCAGGAGCATAGGGGGGTTTGATCCCAGACCCCCAGCTGTAGTACACTGTCCTTGACTTGCTGAAGACCTCGGCAGTACTCATGCCCTACGTTATCTAATAGCACCCACTCTAATGAAAAATCCTGGATCCACACCTGTTAAAAAAGGATGTGGCTTTTTATATAAACAAAATAGAATCCTGCTTACCAAAGGTTGCCTTTGCAGCAAATTTGATTGAAATTGGCCCAGTGGATCTTGGGATAGAAGTCAAAAATGTAAAATTTGTATACATATTGTTACTACTGAATATTCTTGAACATATTTCTCTTTAAGAATTACTTTGACAGAATCTATATGATAAGGAGAATTATATTAACTTTTTCCAAGATTGATATTTGGACATACATCAGTTACCGATATTATTGAGTTTTATAGTCGAAGTTTGTTTCTTTATTAAACATCATCATCTTGTATAGTAAACCCTGTCTAAACAAATTTAGCCATTAATGTTCCTTGAAATTATGCAGATTTGATAACATCCAGATTAGAGAATATTTTAAAAATGTTTGGAGACTAAATTAATTTGCCGGGATGCAATGTTTACAGTCTGAACTTTTTTTTAGAGTCTATCAATGGTCTTAAGTATTAGCCTAATTGAATCTATTTTTTTTTTAATTGTTATTTCATTTTATTGGCTGGACAAAATAAATCTTAAATTAGCATGTGTCTTCATCCCCTCACATAGACCTTTTGTGTCAGTAACACATGAAAATAAACAATAAGGAAGAAAGAGCTTTTTGTAATTTAATTACTTTTTTCTCATCATAATGATACATGACATCATGGACAATCTGTTTTAAAGTCTGATTTCAAAGGAAAAAAAAAAACATTATCATTCAAATGCTTGATGTAAATTAAAATACTGAAGAATATTTCACTCTACAAATAAAATGTTACCAAGTAGAAATATATGACATAACCTTCAAGATAAAGGAGGCACAAACTTGTACAGCATTGAGAATAAGACTTTCCTGCAAGCTACATGTATATCTTATAATGTATGAAAAGCATAAAATAAAGTTGTTTTTTTTTTTAAATGTCCCCCTTTCACCTGGTAAGTGAACACAGGTGTATTTCTCTAACTTTGAAGAGGAGAGACATGCACAGGTACCATTAAACATGTAAGATAAAACGACACAGTCTATGTCACATTTTAATAGGATTCATATGTACATAATTATAGATTAATAAATTAAATTCAAAAGAGAAAAAAAATTTACTTGAAAGATATTTTTTCTCATTTTAATATTCTAACTAACTACTTCATTTTTTCTTGCTTTTATCAGTGTTTTCCCAATGTAAAAGAAAATTCTACACCTGCTAAGACCTATCTGGAATTTTTTTTTATGTTCAAACTGCTGTTTCGAATAACAATCTCTACAAAATATAATCTGATATATCAGTGTACATTTTCTGTTCATTACACAAAAAACTTGATTTCAGGACAGAAGGTCTCCAGCTCAGTTATAAACACATCATCATGAATAAATGCTTGCATAATATTCAGCAATGGACAAAGTTATATCAAAAATCTGGAAACACAAAAGAATCCTTAACAAGAGTATACATGACCCAGTAAAAGGATGCAGTGTACAGCAAACATTACATAAGTAACAGGCAAAAAAATTTAATACACATGATGATACTTATATCAATTATTCTTCTTAATTCTTTGCATATAATTAAAGTCAGTGCTGTGAAAGCAAGAAACTGCATATATCAAGCTTGAATTATTGGCTTCAGTTCATACAGCACACTATATTTATGACAAATAGAACTATATGCATATAATTACACCAAATTTAGAAAAAAATCATGATTGCCTTGAAAACAATGCAAAGAGAACACATTTCTCTATTAACAATAATAACATGATTCAGTAGTCAAATAGATATTCATCAAGGCCACTTGCAACAAGAGATCCTTTCTCACATAACAAGTTTCCAACTTCCAGTTCACAATATTCTATAAGAAGAATGAACCTGAGAACCAGTTTTCTCCCTTTGACTGGTTGACTTTGTTCAGCTTTTTCATTTGATGATGAACTGGTTTGAGTTCTCTCCCTTTGACTGGAGCTCTTCACTTCACAGTGAACTGGTTGGAGCCTTGTCTTGATGACACCCATGCTGTAAATACATCCCTGCAAGAGAATTAAGTAACAATGATACCTGTATAACATATGAAGAAAACATTAAAAGGCTAAAAGCTTACTAAACAAGCCTCTTAATAAAATTTTCATCAAACTATATCCACAATATGAAAACACACTTGAACACCAAAAAAAAAAATTAACTCTTCCATACATCCCATACTTTTTTGTTTAAAAAATTAATGTATAATGCATATCACACATGAAGCCAGACTTGAAATGTTCTCTCTCTCTCAGTATTTGCCCCAATTGAGTAACACTCACCTGCAATGATTGACAACACACTCATTTGAGCAGTACTCATTGTCCCAGCCTGGGCTCTCTATAGTTGGATTAGTACAACCATTTCTGATACACATTGACTGCATCAAGTCTCCCCCATCTAAACATATGTTTGCTTCCTCCTGAAAGATGTAATAGAGACTAGGTATTTCTATGCAGAATATAAAACATATGTTGGCATGTTTTCAAATTAAGAGTAATTTAAAAATGAATATTAAACAATATTTGGATTCAAAATCAGAGAGTATAATATAAAAAGCTAACCATCAACTGTCCTAAGACTGGTTGTCTTGGAGCGATAGGTTGAACAGGGCGTGGAGGAGATGGCACAATTTGCTGAGGGCTGACGTGTTGATGCTGGGGGCTGTATCCCATTTGTGGGGGGCTATTGGAGGGGGGTCCCATCAACATATCCCCCATGATAGGTGACATATTGGGTCCCTGGTGAAGGGGAGAAATTCCTGTGCCTTGGGGTGACATGCCGTGACTGTCCGGAGATTGTCCTGGTGGGGACATTCCATGAAGACCCAGGGGTGACTGGTTCTGCATGGGCATGGAGGACATGGGCCAGACTCCTTGAGGTGGGGATACATTGGGAGATCCATGCATGGGAGAGGTCTGTGGCCCCCTTGTCAAGTGACTTTTATCCATGACATTTCCAAATGGACTGTTATCATCCATTGGTAACTGAAAATGAATCGCAAAAGTTTAAATTTCCAGCAATATATTTTTTGGTACCAATACAACAATTACCAATTAAGTAATTGTTAATTAAACAAAAGATCCTCATTCTCTGTTGATGTTCTGTCTCAGAGATTAACTATGTCGAACAAATTAGTAATTACAATGTTAATAACATTTAGAATTTTTTTAATGTAATTTTTTCAGACAAAAGTTTTAACACTACGTGCAGATTATCCCAAAAATAAAGACAGAAATAATGGGTTTTTAGGATAATTGCAAATCAATCTTATAATTCAGTGCTTTTTATAGAGGACAGGTGCAGAGATCATTGTGTGTGATTTGTTGAGTCTCATTTAATGACTGATGACTGGGTCCCATGGTAACCAAAAACCACCAATCAAACAAGAGTTTTCCTGACTCAGACCTATTGTATTACTCTTTCTTCTTTGTTGTTATGGTGGCTTTAATTCCCTTATAATTATCTTGATCTTTTTATTTGTATAAAATGTAGCAGTAAGAATAGTAAAGCTTACTGTTGCTAAGTACAATTATCTCTGGGAGATTTTCAGTTTTTAGCTGTTTCTGCAACTGAATGTGACATTTTTTTTCATAAAAGCCACAAATAATATCAAAAATTATAAATTCCTTCTTCTAGATCAAATCATTTCTTAAATCCTGTACAGAGCCAACTTCTGGGCTTTTGTTTGTTTGTTTTTTCATGAAAAAGATATAACAATCCTATCATAAATTAATCAGTGTGCAATTCAAAAAAAAAAAAAAAAAAAAAAAGGAATTTCCTTTTGAAAATCGAATGCCTTCTTTTTATTGACCTATATTATGCAACCCCACCTGCTTCATTAAACAAATATCAAACAAAAGCAGAAGGACTCCATTTGCATTTTAAGCCAGCTGATTTTAACAGCATTGACACTAATGCATATGCACCTTTAAACATTCAAAGTACAGGTCATATAAATCATGTTATTTTCCAACTGACAAATTTTCACATTGAAATACACAGGTATTACCCAAACTTTCTCATTACACCTCCTTTAGTAATTGTTTTAAGATAGGAAAAATTACTTGGTGTGTCGATTTATAATTATGTATGTTATTTCTAAGAAAAAAGTATTAATTTGCATACATTTTTCCTTTCATTGAATTTTGCATGATTGCATGGTTTTTTCTGAATTACCTTATTTGAATAGTCATTTAAATGTATTTCTTGTTTTGTTCATGGATGCACATTTAGGATTTATACCCCAATAAACTGGCGATTATCTAATCTGACAACAGATGGTATTCAAGAGGAGTTTGTCAAGTCTTTTTTTTTTCTTATCCGAATTCCATTAAAAATAATTTATAAATTCTAGTTTCTTTCACAACTTAATAAAGACTTGATAAAGACTTAATACAAGACTTGGCAAAAGCAAATCCTTTCTCTGAGGGGAACTAACCTGTGATACCAGGCTAGCTCTGTAGGCTGCTAGCTGTTTCAGATACTCCTTCTTTGCTAACTCAGTTCTCTTTTTATAAAGCTAAAAAAGAAATGAAATAAATAGGTAATATAAGAAGAAATTTGAAAAGTAAAATGTTAATGTTTCTAAAATGTGAAACAAAATTTAGAATGTTGCAATGTCTAATACAGTGTATACATATCTAAAGTTGAAGTGTTAAAAAGATCATCAAATACCATCTAGAATTAATTATCCACAAAATGGAGCATAACTGTTAAGAGCCAACTGGATCAAATAGGCATTGAGTACAAAAGGACTCCTAGCTGGCCTATGTAGTTGGTTTTGGTGGACATTAGAGGCTATTAAAGTTCACATGATGACCAGAACTTGTCCCTTAATGGTTGAGATCAAAGGACACACTATCAGATGAGATTTTAAGTAGATAGGGCATTATGATCGAGGTATTTAGATTTGTCTGTGGTATTGAAAAAAAAAACTTTTGTGTTCAGTATGGGTTATTCTCTATAATGTAACCTTAGACAATCTGTCACATGTTAGGACTGGCAATTTACAGCAGTCAATCAGATCTTAAAGTCAAGACCGTTCATCTTTCAAAAATAATTTAGCAAATGAAAAATAGTCTCCAAAATATTTTGGCCAGTTAACTTTAATTATTAATAATTAAAAATCAGAAATAGTTTAGGATAGACAGTTTTAGAACTGAATATGCAGCTTGTGCAGATTTTAATTCTAGAATGTTAACGTATTTGGAAACTGTGCCTTTTACTCTATGGTACTGTTTTTTGGTTTATGTACTAGACAGTTATTTTTGTAAAGCTTCACTCATTTAAATTCAGCATCAACTTACAATGTCTGACAGTCACATAAAAAAATGTGGAAAAAATTGTCAATCCCCTGCATTCTCAGACAGAGAATGTCAAGTCAGTGTGTCAGTGCAAGTCATAAATAAAATATGGACAATATTCAAATGATGGGGGAAAATATCTACAAATTATTATATTATTAGAACAGGAATGAATCTACACTACTCTTTTTGCAATTTTTATAAACCTATTGTTATTCAAAATAACTACATTTATGGCTCATTATAACTTGATAGGATAATGAAAAAAAAAATTCCATACCATTTTAAGATAATAATAAAAAAATAAATGGTAATAACTTTGGTTTGTTATCATGCAAACAAGGGCCTCACTAATTGATATTCCATTATTGTGGGATTTTTATCCGACCAATCATAAGATAAATCTGATCGTTGTTTTCAGGCTTTAGAGGGGTCCATCAATCTTATGCTATCTGATGGTCTCCTAATGGCTACTTCTGCGAAAATGGTCACAAATTATCCTCAGCTATTACAGTAGCTTTTAGTGAGGAGAATATAATGTTCCTCGACAAGGGAAGTGTCAATCAGTTTAATAATATTTTTTGCTAGATCTAAACATGTACTAATTTTACAGTATATTGATTATTCATCTCAGTTTTAAAACATATAACTTGACCATTGCTTATCCAAACTTTTTTTTTTTTTAAGTTAGTTGTATTTCTTTCAAACTTTTCATATGCCAAAATGAAGAACTTGAAGAATTTTCATTTTCTTTTAAATACTGTACAAAATTAGTGAAGGGAAAAAAATCCCTCCTCTGATAAAATTTTGTTCAGTTTACAAAGCAAAGACTACAGACCACTGAGCTTCTCTGATCAATAAAAATAAACAGGACAAATATTGAATTCAGAATGTGACATTTTCTGTTCAAAATATTATCATGATGTGCTAGTCCTTCATAATTAAGGGAGATTACAAGCTTTTAGTGTGAATGCACTTACATTTTTTCTCTCCGGTTCCAGACTATCCCACATGGATGCCACGATTTTGGAAACCTCTCCGAAACTGGCGGAGGGATTACCTCCCTTTATAGCTGCTTGAGTATCTCGGAAGAACAAAGCGTATGCTGAAACTGGTCTGAAATTAAAAAAAAATCAATTAAAGTGCCTTCAAATACTGCAATCCAACTTTTATTAGCGAGCGAGAAATATTCGCGAGTTTTGTGATCTTCCTTTACTCTCAAATATTTCTAGCTGCAAACCATTATTTTAGTTGTGTGTTAATGTAGAACATTTCCTTAGTCGCAAAAATTAATTGTAGCAGATGGATTTCAAACTGAGGAGTTGTGAATAAAAAATGTCGCGAATAATAGTTGGTTTACAGTACAAATGTATTTCATAAAAATATTATTATTAATCTAGCTCATATAAAGATTTGTAATATATCTCGAAGTCATTGACTTTGGATGGATAAAATCTGTAATTCATGTATTCTGTTAATGTATTATCATTTTGCATGTCCTGGTGATAAATTAAGACTGTTATATTTCCAATGTTTACAATAAACAAGTTTTACTGAAATGAAATCTGTTCACTGAAACTTTAAAAGGGCTGCAATATTGATACTATTAGATTTTCCCTGAGCACTTTTTTTTCTAGATAAAATGATATAAAAGGTGGATATTGAAGGATAAAATAATTACTTCTGGGGCTCGTTGGGATCCTTCTTCTTTTTCTTTTTGGGTGTTTTTCTGGTTTTAGTGACCCCGGCTGGTGGGGGTGAAGGCTCTTTTTCCACCACTGTTGATTTGGCTGCTGCTTGTCTTTTCATTAGCTGTTCAATTCAAAGCACAGTACATCATTGCTATGTGGCTCATACACTTTTACCACTTCATCTAAGATTTTGTACCACACATGTATCTACATTTTGTACCAGCTAATTCCTCTTTGAATTTACATACAATATTCTCAAAACAAAAATATACATAATACTAGATGCATTAAAGATTTTGTATCAGGAGCTAGGGTAATGTTAAAATATCTAAAAGTTTTGAACTCTAACAAATATATCATATTAATGGATTTAATTCACAAAATATTAAATAACATCTCTATTATAGAGAGATGAATCTAAAGATTAACCCCCCCCCCCCTAAAAAAAAAATAAAAGTGCAATATCTGGTACATTCAAAAAAGATTCAGTGTAATTTTTCTTTCTTTTTTTTGTAATCTGATCAGTCATAATAACAAGAGGCCCATGGGCCACATCGCTCACCTGAGTAACTTTGGCCATGCTGTTCTTTACCAGATTTCCCCCCTTTTAATATACCTATTGTGGCCCCGCCCTACCCCAGGGGAACAAAATTTGAACAATTTAGAATCTACACTACCTCTGGATGCTTCCAAATATGTCTCAGCTTTATTGGTCCAGTGGTTCTTGAAAAGAAGATTTTTTAAGATTTTTCTTATATATTTCAATGTAAAACTTGGATTCCCTATTGTGTCCCGCCCTACCCCCGGGGGTCAAGATTTGAATAATTTAGAATCTACACTACCCCAGGATGCTTCCTTATAAGTTTCAGCTTTTCTGGCCCAGTGGTTCTTGAGAAGAAGATTTTTAAAGATTTTTCTTCTGTATATCAATGTAAAACTTGAATTCCCTATTATGTCCCCGCCCTACCCCCGGGGGTCATGATTTAAACAATTTAGAATCTACACTACCTCAGGATGCTTCCATATAAGTTTCAGCTTTTCTGGCCCAGTGGTTCTTGAGAAGAAGATTTTTTAAGATTTTTCCTATATATTTCAATGTAAAACTTGGATTCCCTACTGTGGCCCCGCCCTACCCCCGGGGGTCATGATTTGAACTATTTAGATTCTACACTACCTCAGGATGCTTCCATATAAGTTTCAGTATTTCTGGCCCAGTGGTTCTTGAGAAGAAGATTTTTTAAGATTTTTCCTATATATTTCAATATCAAACTTGGATTCCCTATTGTGGCCCCGCCCTACCCCCGGGGGTCATGATTTGAACAATTTAGATTCTACACTACCCCAGAATGCTTCCATATAAGTTTAAGTATTTCTGGCCCAGTGGTTCTTGAGAAGAAGATTTTTTAAGATTTTCCGATATATTTCAATGTCAAACTTGGATTCCCTATTGTGGCCCCGCCCTACCCCCGGGGGTCATGATTTGAACAATTTAGATTCTACACTACCTCAGGATGCTTCCATTTAAGTTTCAGCTTTTCTGGCCCAGTGGTTCTTGAGAAGAAGATTTTTTAAGATTTTTCCTATATATTTCAATGTCAAACTTGGATTCCCTATTGTGGCCCCGCCCTTCCCCCGGGGGTCATGATTTGAACAATTTAGAATCTACACTACCCCAGGATGCTTCCATATAAGTTTCAGCTTTTCTGGCCCAGTGGTTCTTGAGAAGAAGATTTTTAAAGATTTTTCTTATGTATTTCAATGTAAAACTTGGATTCCCTATTGTGGCCCCGCCCTACCCCCGGGGGTCATGATTTTAACAATTTAAAATCTACACTACCCCAGGATGTTTCCACATAAGTTTCAGCTTTTCTGGCCCAGTGGTTCTTGAGAAGAAGATTTTTTAATGACCCCACCCTATTTTTGTCTTTTCTTGATTATCTCCCCTTGTAAGGGGACTTGGCCCTTTATTTTAACAATTTACACTTCCCTTCACCAAAGGATACTTTGTACCAAGTTTGGTTAAAATTGGCCCAGTGGTTCTTGAGAAGAAGTTGAAAATGTGAAAAGTTTACAGACGGACGGACAGACGGACAGACGGACGGACGGACAGACGGACAGACGGACGGACGACGGACAACAGGTGATCAGAAAAGCTCACTTGAGCTTTCAGCTCAGGTGAGCTAAAAATGGATGTTAAAAGTGAACTTCTAAATTCTTTACAATTAAATCAAACTTTTCAATCAACTTTTAAAAAATTAAATTTTTTTGCATAAATTTATCTGGCATCCTATTAATTTTTGGTATAACACATTATACAATCTGGCATCATATTTATTTTTTGTTTTACACGCGAATATAAAATAATATCTAGTAAAGGTGAGCGTTGAATGACAAAAATTTGAAAAACCTGTGTTTACTACGACAGGTGTGACTAGAATGGAAAGAGAAAAATATTAAAAAGATTAATGGAGCCAAAAAAGGCAAACACAAAAGATAAGAAGTCACTGACAAACAGGATTTATTGTAAATATGCCTCGCAAAGATAAAAATGTGCAATATCATGAAATAAAAAAGGTTATATAAAACACTGAGGTCAGAAACTTGTCAATGACAGATGGTCTATGGCATTTTAAGTAATGATGTAAAACTGTGAGTTTATTATCAGCTGAAAGCACAATGCTGCACATGTTGAAAAGCTTCAAAGAAAGGCAGCACATTACAACTTCTCAAGGGGTAATGAGTAATAGCTTGTGCAGTTTATTATTAATTTTGCTTTCAGGGATTACTTTTTTAAGCATACATTGTACTTGTACAATAAAAAGTGCAAAAATCATACATAATTTTCCCCCCTTTTCCCCAAAAGCTACTGAAAAAACTGAAAATCCTGAAACAATGTATTTTCTCACCTGGGCCAAAGGGAGACAATCATCACTGCTATCCTCACTACTCTCCCTTTGTGGAGACACTGAATTTGTGCTTTGGGAAGGTGAAGTCTCTCTGTTAGGCTCCAGAAAGTTGTTGTCCATTTTAATGACTGAGATCTGAGCATTGTTGGTCATAGTAGGAACTGTTGAAGCCATGGTAGTCTGGGAAAAAGGTGAATTCTGATTTCCATTGTCTATAGAGCTGGTCATCATGGCCATAGATGTCAGAGAACTAACACTGGGATTCAAATTATTGGTAAAAGAAATATCTGGGATATCAAAGTTCTGTGGGGGGAAGATTGGGGTAAATGCTGCAGTGTTTAAAGGACTGACACTAGATACTGGGGTAGTGCTCTGCTGAGAGTAAACATTGTACTGCACAGGGAGAAAGTCTGAGTACTGGGGTGCTGGGAAGCTCGTCTGGGGGTGGGGCTGTGGGTGTGATACACTGTCTGTTACTGGAGGGAGATTCAAAGATGTGATGTCAAAATCGTCATCAAAACTTGGAGTGTGGAATGTCTGAAAATAATTTTAGAAATATTAAAAGAATTGTACGTATCATATGAGTAATTTGCTTAAATTACTGTTAAAGAGAAAATTTATCATGATTGACTTCTCACTTGAGATTTTGTGACCATGTACTTTTTAGCATTCATAATAATTTCAATTCCCTTTTTTTCATATATCAATTATTTTAAAACTGTCCTTTAAGAAATCATCAAATTATACCAAGAAAATGAATTTTTCTTTTTGCAGTTAAAAAAAAAAATTAAATCCAGTACCTGCAAAGTAATTTATCACCTTTTATCATTACTATATATATCTACACCTGTACTTCTTATATATTTTTCCTAATCATGTATTTATAAAGTAAACTAAATACAGAGATTTAATGCATGTGAAGCATGTTATATACATACTAACATTGCAATATCACATATAACAAAGGTTTGGTGTTAAGTTATGAAAACAGAAAAAAAAATCCTCTGAGTTATATCTAAGCTTTGATGCATTATATTAGTTATGGTTATGAACTTAAGGTGTGGTGCTGATTGTCTAGATGACACTGACAAAGAGCTGGGTACTTTAAGACCGATTTACGGCCCTGTAAAATCGGCAAAAATTAAATGCACGATTACATTCTATCAATTGTATCAATTAACTGTTAGGGTTTCCCTGTGTGTGAAATTTGAACAAATTTTTCTCAACTCACGTGCCCTTTCATTTATATAACGTTCAAAACCGGTCTAATATTCCGGAATTCCCCCATTTTGGACGTTTTCCTCCTCTTCAAGTCTATATTTCGATATGGCCGCATCCGAGTATGTATGCGAAACTTTACAGAAAGAACAAATACACTACGATTTTTAATATTAAAGAGAAAAAATAACCTTACAAAAGTGCGGCCACATCCGTTTTTCAAAAAAATTGAAGTAAAAAATGCTGCATTTTTGGATAGACGTCACCTTTTCTCCACAATAAAATCTATATTTTTAAAGAAATTAATTGTTTAATTCTATATCTGAAGGCTTCATTATTTTTTTTATTGTCTTTTAAATTCAATTCTGCATTTGAAAAAAAAATTAATTTAATACAATTATTTAGGCAAATGAAAACCATATGAACCTTTCTCAGTGAAATTTTACTATGGGACATTACATGTAAATTAGTGACGCAATGCATTGAAAAAATGACGTCACAAAGAGCAATCATGTTGAAAATATGTCCTTGAAACAATTTCTTCAGTCTTCGCAACTATGATAACTATTCAATCAATATTTACAGCGTGAAAAAGTAATTTAACGACATAAGTTGGGATGGTTCACACAATCAATTTACATTTAATCCTACATGTACAATGTACCTCCAATTAAAACGCGCGTCTCTTTCATAGTAGACATTGACTTTATTTGACTTCAAGAAAAGATTATTTTTAACATTTTTATTGAAAATCATCAGCTTTTTAAGCATGTTTTATTCGTTTTCAATTGATATATGACTGGGGTTCATGAATGTCAAAAGACAAGGGGGGGGGGGGGGGGGGGGGAGAGATTGGAAGCTTGGCTTACATGTATAGCAGTCACCATTTGAACATTTCTTTTCAAAACTTGTTATCCTTGTCAGTGTATTGTTGCAGATTTTTATTTGACAAAATTGATTATGTCAGAAAGGATTCTAGTGTTTTATCGCATTGTTTTATATATGACAAAATACTTCTAAATCTGCCACTGCCTGTCTACATTTACTTATTGAAGGTCAGCAGCTGGGAATGGAAAAGTTCTTACATGTATTTACACTTATTAATTATATATACATTTATCATGCTGATCGGAATATTGACATCAGTGTTTTCAAGTAAAATTGGGTTTAATTTATAATTTACAAGGAATTTTAGATAATTCTGTTGACCAAGTCTATAAGGCTTAAAAAACGTATACAGTGGTGTACGCTTTCGGAATTTTCTATGAAAATTTAAGTGAAACATGATACAATCAACCTTTTTTATTGTCTATAAATAAAGATTATCTGTTCCCATGAAGTTCTGTAAGAAATACAAACACGATCTTGCATTACTTGTGGACAAGACACCTCCTTTCCGCTCCATAATCGATGGTTTAACTCGTTTTTTTTTTTCAGAAATTGTATTCCTAATACATTTTAAGGCATTCCAAGTCTTGAAATGAAAAAAAAAAGAAGAAAAAAAAGATTACTCTATAGATATTTATCTGTATAAAAAACGAATGTACATATTAACTACATGTACACTATTGTTAATCTTGAAGTAAGCGAGTATTTTTAAAAGGATTTTATCCAGATTATCCATAAAATAATAGTAATATATTTCATAGGAATTATGTTTAGTATTCCAATAGATGTTCATCGGGGCTGGAGGAGCGTCCTGTCCAATATCACCTAGTGCTGTGAAAACGGCGGTGCACATTATCACTAAATTTTAAAGATTTAACGTCCGTCTGTGATGATAATCCGTTCCAGAAAAAAAAAAACGAATTAAAGTATTTTATCGTTACTACAAGGACAAATGCACAAGGAAATGCCCCAGAGAGTTAATGTATCCAAAGGAAGTGATAAAATTATCATTGTCACCGAAATAATAATTTATCAAATGTGTATCTTACCTACGGCTGTGTAACATGTACACATAGGGAGGAGTTCTAAAGAAAATCTTTATCTATTTTAATGCAGTTTTTGTCTTAGTAGATGACGTGATGTATCGTCTTGCAATTCATGTCAGCAGTTTGTTAGGTATATTTTTAAAGATTTTTTAAAAATTTATCAGACACTTACATGAAAAAGAAACATAATCAAGCTAGTGATATAATCCGGGAATTAATGGCAAGGATAACTCTATAAAGAAGTACTGTGACGTGTTTTGCGTATTGTTCCCACAAGTAACAAAATAACATTAAGATTTCGTATAATTTGATAACTGAACTAGAAATAAAATCTCTATGTAGCTTATAAAAAGGGACGTGAAAGTGAATTTTGATTCTTCTATGTGAGTGTTCTGTTATTCTGCATTTCAATTATTTGTATTTTGTCTCATGTAAATAGAAGGGGGGGGGGGGGGCTTACTGATAATCTAATTATACATGTACTGTAATGAGTACCAATAAAAAAATTATATCAAGAATTTGATTTAAAACTAAATACATCCCTTTCCAGTTTCCTTTGGCTCCCCACTGGACTGTGACCATTGATCGATCTTTTACTGATCGATATCAATGCAAGTGCCTGCCGTTTCATGCTGCATTGCTTTGACATGCGCATATTTTCATAGCTGACGCGGATAAACTCTACATGCAAATCATACATATAATATTATATTCTTATTTTTATAGCTTTTAGTTTTAGGGAATTATGCCCGTCAGAGTGTACTACAGGCTTCTGAATCCCTTCCCGAGAATTCGTGTGCATTTCCTGTCGTATTCACTACGCAGATTTAGGCATATAATTTTCGAATTTGTGAATCAAGTAATGATTATGTACATGCAAAGTAATGTGTTTGTCTCTAAAATTAAATTATTAGCATTGGCTATATAAAATATTTTGTTCATCGAAAAATTGATCTAAACAAATCGCACACCCTTTTTTAAGCCTTCGGAGATTCACGGTTTTTATTTGAAGCAAAATTTTTCAAGGTCTGTAACGCAAGTTATGATAAGGCCATTCCAAGTTTTTTTTTATGTGCAGTGTACGCGGACGAATTGGTTTTGAGGTTATGAAATTAAAAACAAACACAAATTAAAATTGATAAATAAAAAGCTTTGAAACGCAAACACAAAGTTAACTCAAATTAAAATCAACAAATACGAATCTCTGAAATTTATGCATTTTACTCTTTTGGGATTGTCATCTCTCTTTTTTAAGTGGTGTATTAATTTTTTTTTATTTCAATAAACTAGTAGTTTAACTAAGTTTTATGGCGAGGAGAGGTCTAAAATGATAACAAGAAATTCTATAACTGTTCAATGCTGCGTTTTTCCCCCTTTGGTTTGTGTGTTTTCTCGGATAGGAAGATAGGCTAGGATGGACGCTAAACAAAGAAAAAACTTGGAATGGCCTCATCAATCAGGACTCTTATAACCGGTCTCCTTTTGTGGTTTAACATAGAAAGTGATTGAGTGTAAGTATACTGGGGATTGTTCCTGGTAAGGGTATTTTACATGAACCGTGCAGTAAAGCGGATCCACTGGAATGAATAAATAACGATCTATAAAAGAAATCATAACATCAGAGAAAATTTTTTTTAACGCAGTTTAAGACACCTCGTAACCCCGTAGTAGTGAGTAATTTATACCAAAAAAAAAAAAAAAAAAAAAAAAAAAATAGAAAATACGAAATTAATAGCGCTGCCATTTGTTGGAATGGAAAAGGGGAGTGATGTTGATGGCTTTTTCATTGCCAAAAATCCAATTTTGACAACTTTATATGGGACGTTCTAATTTTCTTTTTAATACTGGTTCATGTATCTTTAAAAATTTTAATGTAACTTCATAGACAATGCGGAAAATGATTGAAGAAATCATTAGGACATTTTTACATAAAAAAAAATGATAAATTTGATACGAGCGCAATTTTAAAAGAAGTACTACCTTGTCTCATCTGTATGGATAAATCAAGCTTCATTACTTGTCTGATGAAATCGTTTGTAATAAAATTATATTTCCTTTAAATTATTTTACTCCTTCCAGCTATCAAAGATACATTACGATGAATTGAAATAAAAGTTCAAAATTGTTTTCTGGAACATAAGGCAGGTTAAAGTAAATAGTTTCCGGTTCAGAGAATTTACAGATTTCTTTTAACGTAACGTTGAAATCAGTAACGCCGTGATGACGTTATCACGTCAAAATTTGTAATTTCTAAAGAAAACTCCCCATTTTTCGAGACCTCTGATGGAAAAACGGTTTGTGATAATTAAAAAAAATAAAATGATTTTGAAAGGACAAATCGTAGGCATGTTTGTAAAAAACTGAAATCAAATTTGGAGACAGGGCCGCTCTGTTATACTTACGTACCCAGTTCTTTGATACAAGAGCCCCCTGACCTACTTAAGAATGTCCAGAATTAAAACAGCCCTTACCCACTTAGAAACAGTCATCCATTCCGAGAAGTTTAAAAGATCACTTCAATTACAAACTTTCAGTCTTGCGGGCGACGGGGAATACAGCATATGGTAAGGAGGGAAAAAGATAATTGTCAATTTTCATTAATTATTCAGAGAAATAATAATCTTAGCTGTGATCGCCGATTTTATTTGCAGAAATTATGTCAGTTGTGTTCAAAACATATCAATATGTCAGAAAGGGTGAATTAGGTTTGCTGTAAATTCCCGCAATATGATATTGTACTTCATTAAGGTTTTAAAAAAATTTATGTATAATCATTGTGATTTGAATCTCAAATAAAACCCATAATTAACATGTATACTATTACACTTTATTTATCGTATAAGGCCATTCATTATGCATGTAACTTGCTTGTATCTTCAAATAAATTAATGCAAACATACATGGACCCATATGTACTTTGGTTGAATTTGCATCTCTAAAAAATAAAAATTGATTTAAAAATTAGTCATATACAAAATTTAGATTTTCTACATACAACAGAGTAAATGTATGTTGTATCTGTCACGTCTTAGCAAATTGCTGTCCAATAAAGTTCTTTTCTTAGCAAACAGTACTTAAATATTCATGGATCAGTTGTAAAATCAGAGGAGGCTTGCTGATTCAAATCAATGATCCATAATTATCTAAAAATGATCTTGGAAATATTTGCTGTAAAATTGAGATTTTGACATGTTGACAGTTGGCCATTTTGAAAGATTTGCCTGAAATTCCGGAGAGAAAAAAGATGTAGCAGTAATTACGTCTCCATACCCATGACGATGGGAAAGACTAAATACCCAAACAAAGGCTTGACTCTGAGTCGATCACCACCTGTTATCTTCAGAAAACTAATGCCCTTATAATACACTTTTGATATTCGAAAAACGAGTCTCCAGGTAGATTGTCTGACCTTGTTTAAACATTAAGTCAGCATTATTATCGTAATTTGTCACAATGTATTACCAGAATAAAAGTACTCTCTGATTACAAACATATCTTGATGCCTATCAGTCTGCAAACTCAATATATCATCTTCTTTCTTGGAACAGAATCTCAAACACCATGTTTGTATAGTGAGGACACAAAAGTTTTACAAATTAATGTCTCTTGTAACAGCTTAATCTTTACAAAAATATGTCTTGTATTTGAATTACTTCCTTATGAAATCTGAAACTACTGACTGTACAACAGGTGCCCCTTAAATATTTCTGCCCTGCACTTCTTCTATTGGTGTAGTTATTGTACAACCAGATCATTTATTTGGGTTTACTTCCAGGTAAGACAAATTCAGCATGATTTAGAAAACAACTTGTTCTACCATTACCATGACAGATGGTTGGTGAGTAAGAGCTGGTGTTAAATAACATCTTATTAATGATCTTTTTTTTCTATGAGGTTTTTTTTTATTTATATGGTTAAAATTTCTGTAATTCCTTTACTTGTTCCACATTATTGACATCTTACAACATGCTTGTTTTATGTCTGCAGACTATCATTTTTAATAAGGAAGAAAATTTTAAAAAGTCATTAAAAAACATTCAAAAACTCATAAAGCTGACATAATTCTGACACTGTTCTTCTGAGAGATGTTGTTAACTAAAGGTTCTTCAATCTCTAGGTGGTTTTATTTATTACTTGAGTATGTGTTTATTTAACTCTATATTGCACCTTTACAGTATATAAGCTTTTAATTTTTAAAACTATTGCAGATCTTTCCTGCAGTTGGACCATTTTAATTTTTACCTTTATAAAAAAAATCAAAGTATTAAATATAGATGCCATATCATAAAGTTTTCCTCTGTTGTCTTCTGTTTGTTTTCATTTTTTTTTTTTTTGTAGTTAATTTCAGGACCACAGAATGTAGTATTTCTCACCTCTGTTGTTTTAATGCATCTGAGCAAAGATGAACTACATGTTTGCAGAAAATGGCATTTTTATGATGACAGGTGAACTTGGGGTCAACATGAATACATAATGTAACCTAATGGGTGACCTTAGTGCAGTTCATGACATTAATGTACTATTACATAGTCAATTAATTGGACATAGAGTATAACATATATAGATAATAACCCTTTATGCATAATGTGTATTTCTATCAATATTTCTACTCTATACTGGCCATAAACAGAAGGAAATGGACATGTCAAAGAACATTTCAATGCAGTATTTCTCATGATTTGAAGTTTTATCTTTTAGCATGCATAAACACTTCAATATTTCATGATTAATAAAAAATCATCTGATTATGCACTTTTGAATACCTATACCTGTACTTAACCCCCCCAAAAAATAAAACAATAAAATATTCACATTGAAAGAGAATCCTAAAAACTAAAGTGTATAATGCAGCTTATTGTGTGGGATGCTAATTTTGGTCACTGATCAACATAATAAAGGCTTAGTACATATAGTTTGTACAGGTATGTGTTGTCATTGCTTGGTTTAGCAATTGCCTGCTGAATTTCAGGAATTTTTAGCATCTAAATTCTATAAAGTTGCTATAAATTAGTTTCCTTTCATACCATTTCATTCCTTAAAGGACTAGAACTTGTTTTACATATATATTTAATATACAATACTTAAACTTTCAAACATAATAACACCACTATGTTTGCCTAAAATCAGTGAAAACACACCTTAGGGAATTTAATCAGTTTCTTTTCAGTGCATGTATTAATGAGCACAAATTCAGATTTCAACTTTAAGCTGTAAATTCACAAATTCACGCATATTCATACAGTTGCAAAGATGCAAAGTATAGCCCCCACAAGAAAAAAACTAGTGTGATAAAGAATATGTTTGACTACAATTATGCTCCCTCCATCCCCCCTCTCCAAATCAAAGTTTGAAACAAAAATTAGGCTATAAATTTAAAGGTAAAATTAAATTTCAGGCAAGATTGTGTGCTTCATTTTTAAGCAAAATTTGTGATCAATTTGTGCCAACATCCCCCCCAAAAAAATTCTTAGAAATATCAGTTTTGTTGAGTCATAGACTCTTATATAATAATGGCTTTTATGAATAGCTATGTAAATTTGATAAGTATTTATTTTCAAAGCAAATTATGAATACATTCGATCATTTTTTTCAAATTCCATTTTGGGACAATACAATGTATTAGAGTCTTAAAATACACAATGTTTGGCAAACTCCTCTTTCCATTCCTTTTTCTCTGTGTAAAAAAGATCTATATTTATTTTGGTTGCTAACATTAAATAAAATATAGTAACAAGTTGTTTTTCTTATCCAATATAGATATTTTTACTGATATGTTATGTCATCTTATTGCTGAATAATTGCATACTATTCAAATGAACCTTTACTCACGAAAAATATGTAGTCCAACTACAAATATTCTGATTTCATGTACAAAGGTATTTTGTCAAGAGAGCTAGACCTCTGTCTTTCTCCTTCATTAAAGATCATTATGTTGCTACTTAATATTTGTAATATCACTTATTTTTGTGGGATCAAATTTTCCTGGTTTGAGGAAAAAATATTGATTTGAGGGGATTTGATTTCATGGGTTAAGGATAGACTTTATACTGTTAAATAGAATTTTAACATTTTGTGGGGGACATGAATTTGTGGGTCTTTTTATACTATGAAATCAATGAAAATTAAACCCTCATGAAAATTAGTGATTTCACAGTAATCATTTTGTGAACATTGAATGTGTGTGTGTGTGTGGGGGGGGGGGGGATTCTTCCTTCTTTCTTAAATTATCGAATGTTAATGACAACAACATACAATAGCCATGTCAGCCTGATAGAATTAGTGTAATACATGACAGAATAAATCAGAACCAATGTTGTACAGTAAAACACATTTATCACAAAAATGCTTGATCATGAACTCTTTTTTATATAAGATTTCAAATAGGCTTAGCCTCCTTGTTCAAAGTATATTTTTACTTTTACTAATGAACAATACATTGTTAAAATTAGTCAATGAATAAAAATTTAGTTTAAGAATTCATGTTATGCTGTAACATTTTGTAAGTTGTATAAACTAAAGAACTGCTAAGTACATAAATTACAAATCACCGATTACAAAGTGATTACATCTGTTGCTGCAATTCTGCCATAATTGTGCTTTACTGTAGTTTTTTTAGTAGGGAGTGTGTTACCTCACTAGTCAAGTAGCTGGCTTCTGGTCCATAGACATCCCCCATCACCGAAGACAAGAGATTGGGGATACCACTGGAAATGGCTGGGCTCTGAAAAAATTAAAAAAATCTTTAAATACAGTCAAACCTCATTATCTTGAACTCAATGGGGCTAAGATTTAACTTTGAGATATCCGATGATATGATATAACCTGGGTAAAAAGAACAAAAGAATAAGTGATTGGGACTGCCAACTCACTACCATATATTCCTGGTATTTGAGATATCAGTGTTGGAGATAACTCATTTTTCCTTGAACAAAAGTGAATGAGAGAAAATGAAAACATTTTTAATGAAATCAATAATTAATCATGTCAAGTGATTCATTTTCTTTCAATCATGGCAAATAAAATTTGAATACCATCACCATTATAATCTAGAATAAGCTCTGGCTATTTTTTCTTGGAAATGTAAATTCAAAGTATTAATTAAGTCCCTTACATCTATTATATTGAAAGAGTCCTCAAAAAAAAGATAATCATATACAGAGAAGCATGGATTTGATTAACACATAGCCATCCAAATCATTCATTTTCCTCCTAAGATTATTAAATTGACAAATACAACTCTACAAATTTGTTTCTTTTCATTTTTTCACAGATCTGCTTGATTAATTATATTAATGTTCCTCTTAATCAAAAAAACAAAAACAAAAACAAACAACACCAAAAAACTGCAATTCTTTTGTCGGATAAAAAAGGTAACAGAAGACATATACTGTGCAGGCATCATCATTATAAACCTATAATAACCATCATTTAATTTCTTTATGAGAAAAGGTATAGTTCTGTCTTAATACATCTGCTACAGAATGACCATCAGATCTTGAACAAGTAACTGAAGTAATACATAAAAGAACAACAGAGCCATTCACTCCATCTTGTCATATAAAGAAAACAGCAAATCGTTACAGAGTTACTATGATAAAATTTAAACTTAAAACCTTGATGAAGCTCACTTATTTGGAATACACTTTCATCCATTTAGAAATATGCACAAAATCCACCTATTCAGACCTTACATGATACAAATAAGACATCCAACTTAATGAAAACTGACATCTCCTGTTTCATTTAAATTCTCCCAGGCATCAGTCCTAGTCCATTCTAGAAGATGTGCCGTAAAACAGTCCACCTGTTATAGGTGAATCCATGCATTAGAAAAGTTTTATTTTAACAAAGCTACAATTACCATACCAAGATCAATGTATCACAGAGGCTTAATGACCGTGTTCTACACCTGTACCCCAGGCTATTTACTTATATGAAAGAACTAGCTCCAATCAGGTACTTAACCTGGTCAGATCAACTCAATGTTGTAATACACCATAACCTAATGGACAGTCCATCGAGGCTCTCAACAGATTGAAACAAATATTCTCAGCGTGCTCTAGATAAGTCCAATCTATGATACCTTTCCAGTCTTAATATTAGCTTAGGGATACAGGTAAATCCATCAAGGGGTGATAAAATATTAAAGAGATTCTTGTGGATAAATAAATATAGAGAACATGTACCTCAATATCCAACATTGCTATACATATAATATCAAATCACAATAGTCCATTTCAAGCTGATAAAAGTCTCCCCAAAAAGTACCACGGTTTTGTTATCCTGCAATTGTGTAACTGCTGATTGAGCAAACACAGCGCTACTCTCATGTTAGAAATCCATCCACTGACTGATAGCTCACCTGTGTATTAATGTGCCATCTTAATTATAACACCTGTCATTCTGGTCACATGACCTCCTAAGAATTGGTCACATGATCCATTTTATGGAGAATGGGAAAAAATTGTTATCGAAAGTGTTGATGAATTAAAAGAATTTGTTTTTAAATTAATATATCTCATTTTTATTTTAATATATTTTGAATAATGATTGATGTGCTATTTCAAGAAAAGGCATCTTTAAATAGTTGCTAAATGAGCCTTAATTCTTGGAAACTTTCTTATCTATAAATACAATCTTGTGTAGTACAATATGTACTGGCAATTTAAACCAGCCAGTCAAAAAAGTTATGTCTAAAATGGTTTCTTTAATCCTTCTACTCAAAAGCTATTTTTACAAATTTTCTTCATCCCTTGAGGGTTTTGATGAAAAGATATGAAGTATTACAGTGCATGATTATCGATGCATAAATCTGCATTTCTTTGTCAATTATCAATCTTCACTACAAAAAAGGGTGATCCATCAAGTTGAAAATTTGCATTTCTGCAGAAAAAGATTTACCTTTAAATTTTCCCTTATCTTTAAGTTAAATTTGTCCTACTGACCTACTGCTATTAACATATATTTCTGTATTTCATTTATTTTAGATCATTATTGGATCAGTTCCATGATAGATGTTATATTTGACCACTTTTTGTCAACTTAAAAATCAAACAAGCAATGAATATGACAAGTAAATGAGTAATAGATAAAGAGGTTTGTCATGTCAGTGCACAGTATTTGTTGTCCGTTTAATCATCACAGATCTTTCCTTAGCATACTTTTACATTTTGTTTGCAGTGTAAATACCTGTAAAGTCCAGCATTCAGACTGGAACTGTGAAGTGACATTGAGTGGCACTTTACGACAAAATGACCACCATCATATCACCTGTCCAACGGTAATGGACACATAAATTACGGACCTTAATTCATCAACCATGTAGCAATTAATATGGTTTAAAATATAAAAGTTGAATACTAGTCCTGCACTTTAGAGGCAGCATCAATTATTACTATATTTTAATTTTTGAATGATCATGATCTATTGTTCATCATGTTGGGTTTTTTTTCTATAAGTGATGTTTCAGCAAATCAGCAAAAAAATTTCTCTTCTCTGTAGTCTACCTGTATCCAATCAAAGTAAAATTTACAATCATTGTGATCATGGATCTCGATCAATCCCTCTTTCTCTCTCTCTCTCTCTCTGTAGAGTATGTAGCTGCATCACCATGACAGTTCAACAACATATTAAAAGAAGAATACAAGGGGAAAGACTAATCATTACTTGATTACACAGTAATTACATTACCAGTGGATTCAATTAACATTTGTTCAAGTAAATCATGAAATAATTAAGCCTTATGGGCCTGCCATGTGTTGTTATGTGAATAAGAAAACTTTTGAAAAAATCTTAAACTTGATTACATGCAAGGAAAAAGAAATTCAATTCAATCAGCAGCAACGATCAACTTTATTCCTCATCAAGTACTCTTTGTTATAAAATCAATACCCAGGCTAATCACAGCTCTCCCATCAATAACAATATTCAAATTATCTGTCACTTTGATCACACTTTATGTCTGACAAAATGTTTCTGCTTCAAAAAAATACACTCAGTCAGTCAAAAGAAAGAGAAATCTCCATATATCACCTCAAAGATGACATAGAAGATGGCATTTCTCTTGTAAAACACGGCTATGTTCCCTCCCTTCTCTTGGTTTATTTCTAGGTAGCTATACTGGTTTTCATAATTTACACTACATTTAACAATTGGTACACTAAAAGGCTGTGACTGAAAGTATTTCTTCATTTCTTAAATGAGAGCTCAGGAAGAACCCAATGTCATTACAATGTCTAATCAATTCATATATCTAATGTACTAAAGAAAAAATGCTTTTGTTGAGGGATAACAATTAATGATAATATGACCTTGACTCAAATTATCTGCACTAAAAAACAAGGTCATAATTGGTAGTGTTGTTTTCAATTTGTATGATTTTTTTTCTCTGAAATTTGAAACATGTCACATAAATTTTATCTATCACAAAAACTTAATCCAATGAAGTCTTTTATATCAATAGCAGTCCACAATGTGCAGTGAATAGACTCCACAATTTGCAACTGCAGACCACAAATTCTAATGGATTCCACACAAAAGTCAACAGAAAATTATTCCCAGGAAAATCTAATTACTGCTTCCAAGGGCATTAATCATTTCCCCTCTATTAGTTTTAATTACCAGATGAATCCTATTGTTGTAGCTCTACAATATGGAAATATTAATGGCAACAGAAATTTATACATCCATGTTTTATTGGATACCAGACAACATTATATGGAGCCATTAATTTGATGGGGAAAGTGTATTTGAAAGGAAAGTCATGAAAATATTTAAGCAGGTTGTGGAGAAATACAAAATGCACTGTTGATTTCTAGCTAAGATTAAAGTTATCTGTTATTTTTTTTTCAAGTATTTTCTAAAAAAAAGTTTTTCTCTTGGTGCAAAAGTGGAAAATCATCACCATTTAGTGGAAATATCCGTACCTTTAATAAAAAGTACCACTATAAGTATATATACTGGAACCATTATTATGTGAAATGATTGCAATATTAACAAAATATCACATAAGATATAGTTAACAAAACCACAAGTACATCAGGTACTCATGTTAGAGATCCGTACCAAGTGCACTCATTAGATTAGAAGTCAAAATTAACATATTATCTAAAATATCTTGAAAATCCACATGCACGTGTCATACATTGTAAGAGTCACTGACTGTCCTCTCTTAATTGAAGTTTAACTTTTCTGGTACTTTTGACTAATTTTAAAATTTTGTGGTTATAAAAACCCTTTATTTGACATTTTTATTTTTAAAATATTTCCACAACAGAAAATTTTCTCTAGCATGATAATGGGGTATTCACCATTTTTTCTGAAAAGAGCATTTAGAGCAAATATATTTCTTATCATCCGTAAGGAAAAAAAGGCTTTCACAAAGCCGGCATATCGTGCATTTGAGTAAAAGTCAAAACAAATGACAATCAAATATTACAAAATACATAAATATCTCTTGATTAAAAGAATTTTTTCATGATTAAGTTGTATACCTCTAAATATCTTGTAACTTCACTGTATAAATGGGGTTTGTTTTTTTTAATTTCAAAAATCATGGGTTGAACATTTTCTACTCTCTACCACTAAAAAGTGAAAAAGATTTTTTTAAATGAATAAATAGGATTAATTTTTTTTTTTACCTTATTCAATTTGCAGTGGAAGCTGACTTATCAAAGTAAATTCATTTTTTTTTTTAAAGTTTAAAATGGCTACTGTGATTTCAGACTATAAACTAACCAAAAATCTTTAAGTATATGAATACTGTCTTCACAAAATTTAATTAACTATATACACAGAAACTGGCAACATAAAATTCAAGATCTTGAAGTATGCAGTGCTCCATTGAACTTAACTCCCCTCCCCCCAAAAAATCTTATAACAAAGCTACTGTAAATGTTAAGCTAATAATACGCAAAATTTGGAATGATGGACATGGATTTCAGATCAAAACTGACATGAATGAATATAATTATCTGAATTGGGCTCATTGACTAAAAGCAAAGTAGTCAATATCTAACTGAAGACCCTAATTACCATTTTACAAAGTGAATACCTTTAATGACCATGTATATCTGAATACATGTATTGGTAATCCATATGTCTCTTTCTTATACAAAAACCTTACATCTTACTCCTAAAATAGTCCACATATTTGCATATATTTTAAAGAAAAACATGAATGACTATTCATGTTTAAGCTGAACTTATTGTGATTTTGAAAGTTGTACAATTTTTAATCTTGAATTCTAAGAGAAAGGGGGGAAGGGGGGGGGGGGTAGTAAATTAAAATGTGTTTTGTGACCCCAATATCTGTTTCCATAATAAATTAACATATCAAATCAATGCATCAGCAAAACAGTATACATGCATGAAAAGATAAATTAAAATTAATAGTGATCCAATGAAAATATATGATTTTACAGTACCTGTTTACACCACAAAGACTCCAAGGTCAAATTAATGAGGTCAAAAATACTGGTATTTAAGAAAAGGACTTGTCACAAGGAAAATACTCATGAAAAATAAAAACTCTTGCACCAAGCATTCAAAAATTATAGCCAAGGTTAAAGTTTTTCAAAAGTAGGTCAAACTCCAAGGTCAAGTCAAAAGGTCAAAATTGTTGCTACCTTAAGAAAGTTCTTGTCACAAAGAAAACACGTGTGAAATATGAAAGCCTTACCACCAACCATTAAAAAGTTATGGCAAAAGTTTAAGTTTTTCGAAGTAGGTCAATGTCCAAAGTCAAAATTTTTGGTATCCAAGGGAAGGTCTTATCACAAGGAATACACATGTGAAATATGAAAGCCCTAGCTTCAAACATTCAAAACATGGCCGAGTTTAAAGTTTTTTAAAAGTAGGTCAAATCCAAAGGTCAAAGTCAAAAGGTCAAATATATTTGTACCCAAGGGAAGGTCTTATCACAAAGAATATACATGTGAAAATGAAATGAAAGCCCTAGCATCAACCATCCAAAAGCTATGGTCAAGGTTTTAGTTTGGTAAAATTCTGCAAAAGTGAGTAAAACTCCAAGGTCAAGATGTCAAATATGTTGGTACCCAAAGAAAGATATAAACTTGAAGTATGAAATCCCTAGCACCAACCAATCAAAAGTTGTGGGCAAGTTTAAAGTTTTTATAAGCAAACAGACAGACAGATGGACGAACTGAGCAAAAAATTTATGCCGTCGAATCTTCGATTATGTGGGCATATAAAGAAAAGGCTACAAAGAGACTGCAATCAAGTTGATAAGCTTAGAAAAATGTTCATACATGTAAATAATTACCTAAATTGTCCAGAATTGGCTTATCCATTTCGGAGGAGCAAAGAATGCTCATTAAAGAGATGTTTCTTAATTTCAGGTGATATTTCTTGTTTAGAAGATATTATTTTACAAAGAGATACAATGTATCTATTAGACTTAAAAAGATATTTCTATCAAAAAGAGATATTTTTTCTCTGAGAGATATCTGGGGAGTTTTTGTTTTGTTTTTTGTTTTTTTTTTTAGAAAAATGTATCTTCAAAATAGTGATCTTATATATATGTTTAAGAGACATCTGTCTAAGAAAAAATACATCTCCATTACAAAAAAAGATAGTCATTGTATCTCTATTGCTAAGAGAAATATCTCTTCTAAAATAAAGATATCTTTTAAGCAAAAAGAGATATTTCTTAAATATTGAAAGTAAGAGATATCTTTTTCTGCCAAGAAGATACATGCATCTCTTTTAGAATAAGTAAAAAAGAGATATCTCCTTCTGCAATGGAAATTTTTGTTTCAAAGAGATATCTCTTTGAGCAATTCAACAGCATATCACACACAAGACCAAGAGTATCTTTCAATTTCATTTTATTTTTGGAATTTTTTTTTTTTTATATATAAAACTAACAACCCAAAATATTACAGATAAAAAATCTGTTTTAATTTCAATTGTTTATTGCCTAGCTGAAGCTATTGATACTTATTAATATCTCTTACAGGTCTATCTCTTTGGGTCTGAATTTGAGGAAACTCAATCAATTGAAAATAACAAACAGCTGACTTTTGTTTTAGTCTCCGTATATTATCAGTTGATTGAATTCGCTATGCTGTTGTCCATTTATGCAAACTGGCTAGTGTGTGAAGTACCTGAAAGAAGTAGACTTCTCAAAGAGGTGGCTCTATTACTTAAAAAAAAGAGAATTCTCTTTCTAGAATTCATGAAGATATATCATACGGTTAAAAGAGATATCTCTTTAATGTGAAAAGGAGATCTCCTGAGAAGAAATAGAGGATATTCAATGTTTTGTAGATGAATATGGAATTTATTTCACGAGTGGGACAGGATTTTTTGATATTTTGACGAGTGCAGAGCACGAGTGAAAATATAAAAAAATTCTGTCTCACAAGTGAAATAAATTCCATATTCATCTACAAAACATTGAATTTTCTGTTTATTACATTTTCTTTGATTTTCCCTTTGCCTCAGTCTTTTTGTAAAACAGTGTCATTGGCTGTGATGTCATAGTTAAGCGGTTGAGACGTCATAGCTAAGCGATTGAGAGACTGAGAAATGTTATAAACATGGACTTTTATCAACATGTTTGGAGAAGCTTTGGCAGTTTTAGTCTCTGTCAGGATGGTTCATTTACTTTCTCTAGCTTATGACAGGCAAGGTTTTTTTTTTTTTTTTTTTGAAAAAAAAAAAAACTCTTCGTGAAGGGAAGGAAAATGGAGAGTTTTGCCACACTTCTGATATTCTCACACTGTGAGTATACCAGTATACCATTTTGATACCCTTTCACACTGTGTCAGAATATCACTTTTTTCAATAAATAAATTAAAGTATTTCACTGTTGAAAATGTAATAATAGGTTATCTCTGTATAAAAAAGTGATATCTCTATAGGAAAAATTATATCTCTTAGACTAAATGAGATATATCTCTCTCTGTTTGAGATATCTCTCTTAATAAGGCAGATATTAATAAATAGTATTATGATAAAATGGCTGTAATGATGAAAAAGGTGAAGACAACGAACAGTGATCGATCTCAGAAAAAAAATCTATAAACAATACAAATCTGTAAAGAGTGCATAAAACACCGACCCCTGGAAATTCCAGAGGTGGGATCAGGTGTCTAGAAGGAGTAAGCATCCCCTGTTGACTGGTCACACCTGCTGTGAGCCCAGTGTATGATCAGGTAGATGGGACATTCTGTAGTTAAATTCAGTATAAAAACAGATGCCTAACAATTGGTATGAAACATGTCTGCCAAGTGATCTATAAATGCACAATATCGAAGAACTAACATCTAGTTGATGAGTGTCCTTGTGGGTGTATATGTGGGTGGATGCATGCATAGCAACTAAATGCAAGGAGACACATTTCATTGACAAATCAGATATGCCTTTATTAATATCCACCGACAATCTTAAAATCGGTTAAAGGCTATAATGAAGGTAGCATTCTATTCAAAATTACAACTTATTACTTTATTGCAAACATCTTCCTTTAGTACACAGAAAATTTCCGTGAATTTTCCAAGTAAGAATTGAAAGCACAAAAAATTTGAATAATTCAGAAAATTGTATCCAGTACATCAATATTAAAGCATTATAAAGTTTCTCTTTTTCATCACATACATATTCCAAGAATTTCAGCATACAGTAAAACAAACTTATAATGAAGTGTCAGAGATGGACAATTTTGCTTTAATATAAACAAAATTTGTTAATATCCATTAATTTCACAATATATTAAAGCCATGAGGAATAAAAATCACTTCACTGTAAGCATCAATTCATTATAAGCATTTTCGCTATAAGCATGTTTTACTGTATTACATTTTCTACAAGATATCAACTACAAACACATTTTTTAGTCATCAGAATTCCCTTGATTACTAAGCTTTACTTGTACCTTGAATGTAGTTCCATGATGATAGTACTTGGGATTAAATCCATACGGAGATAAAGTCTTCATGATCTGAAGCACTTAGGAAGGAATAAGTAGAGTCCAGTCATCAGTAATATGTCATATAATGTCATAATAAACAGCAATATCAACCAATCAATATCAACATTTATTTATCCTCTGCATCCATCAGGGTTCATTCCAGATGCATTATCCTCAATAATCGTCCCCTCATTACAAACAAATTGCTCAATATTATATTGCACTCAAAAAGGGATTAATATTCTCCTAATCTCCTGCTAAAACGATGGATCTGAATGCACTCACTATGGAGAATAGAAATCTGCCTCTTTATGTGCAGTACAAGGACACAGACAACGTTTGGCTGTATGGTCACCAACATTCAAATTTATCATCCGGCAAATTAAAATGAGTTCATAATAACAAAAACAAGCTCTTCCACGTTATTCTTACAGGCAACCTTACGCAGACATTACAAAGAGATGCACCTAACAATTTTCAAACTGAAAATCTTATCAATTTCACACTTGGAGAATTTGGTCCTGTGATGTAGAACTATGAAAATGCTAATCCTGCTGGTCATATCTGAGTTTTAATGAGTGTCCCCTCCAAGGAAATAATTGTATTGGGGGCGCGTGCTCGGTATTAAGGCTCTCATTGTCAACAAATTTCAATGAACTGCTCAGGGACTGGTCCACTACACCGAGGTTTCTGAGCTTATGAGCAGATGTGTGGATAAATCAGGGAATCGGAGAGAGCACCTGCCAAGCACAATTCAGAACAGAATATTGAGTTTTATTTTTTCAACAGATAAAGCTGAAATTGTATTGCAAATATAACAGAATCTGCAATGATCTGCCATAAATAATATATTGATTCACGTCAAAGCAACTTCATGAATTGTTCATGGAGGCGTGATTGTTACAGTACCAAGAGAACAATGTCATTTGATTCAATTCAATTTAGATTTATTTGACAAAAAGTGATGCTTATTCTTTTTCAGTAATAACTGCAATAATGAACTCATACAATAGTAATGGAATAAAACCTCAGATGTCAGCTCATCATTTTGTTACGTAGAAATTTGCAAAGTCCTTTTGACCCAAATAGCCTCTCTGGAGTAAAGTACTTTTACTTAATATAATTCAAATATTTGCATGCAAATTGTTAACTAACTGCATGAATATGTCTACAATAATACACTGAGAGTGAATTCTGTCTCCAAACTTTTCATTGATTATAAATAGCAGTCCACAAACTGGTTCTTATTTCTGTTGCAATTTATATTCCAGGAAAGGGGCAATTTCGTACCTAGCAATACAGGTAAAAACATGCAGTTATATTTATAAAATCATCATATATATCTATACTATAAATAAATATTGCAGTTTTCTGTAAGGTTGGCTGAACTTATACTTTCATGGGTTGAAGGAGGGAAGGGCAGGGAAGGAGAAATTATAAGATATGAGAAAAGTGTAGGAAAGAAGTTTGAGATCAGGGAAAGTGGAGATAAATGTGGATAAAATTGATATATCAAATACTTTACCAAGAATGAGAGGAGAAATGGGGGAATAAACAACAGTAAGACTTAACAAAGAATCAGAGGAAAATTGAGGAACAAACACAGTAATTAAGACTTAATTAACAAAAAATCAGAGGAAAAATGGTGGAACAAGCAACAGTAAGACTTAACAACAAATCAAATGAAAAATGGTGGAACAAACAACAGTAAGACTTAACAAAGAATCAGAGGAGAAATGGGGAACTAAACAACAGTACAACTTAACAAAGAATCACAGGAAAAATGGGGGAACAAACGCAGTAATTAAGACATTACAAAGAATCAGAGGAAAAATGGAGGAACAAGCAACAGTAAGACTTTACAAAGAATCAAATGAAAAATGGGGAAACAAGCAACATTACAACTTAACAAAGAATCAAAGGAGAAATGGGGGAACAAGGAACAGCACAACTTAGCAAAGAATCAGAGGAAAAAATGGGGGAACAAATGCAGTAATTAAGACTTCACAAAGAAACAGAGGAAAAATGGGGGAACAAGCAACAGTAAGACTTTACAAAGAATCAAGGGAAAAATGGGGGAACAAACAACAGTAAGACTTAAAGAATCAGAGGAAAAATGGGGGAACAAGGTGGCAGGGGATAGTTTTTTTTAATGCCAAACATGTGCCGAGTGGGTACACATATACAACATGGGGAGAGCTTCCTAGGGGACTAATTAATTACTTCATATGCCCACAGCTCACAAAGTATGTTAACATGAAAAAGCAATCTACCCTTTAGAGTGCACATGTACCAAAAAATGCACTTGGGGACCCCAAATTTTGGCTTGTTTTTCCCAGATTTGGGCCTCGGTCGCACCCATACAGTCCACTCCCACTCCTGAACTAGGAGGATATTAACCATCCTGTATGCTGTACATCAATGCATGCCCTGATGATTGATTGATTGTATGTTGTTTTATGTCCCATTCAAGAATTTTTCACTCATATAGAGATGTCACCATATACCGGTGAAGGGCTTCAAATTTTGACCTTTATTCAGCACTCAGGGCCATTGAGCAGTGAGGGATCTTTATTGTGCCAATGCCTGCATCCGAAGGACCCGCAACTTTCACTTCAAAGTGCCGAGCGCATGGCAAAGTGCATGCCCTAATGAAAATTCACCAATTGATCTGGGGCCATTCACCTTCCCTCCGAGATACACACCTTCTTCTAACCCTACTGCTTTCCAGCTGAATTTCCTCTACAACTGACTAATGTCTAAGTTTCTCATTTACAACTCTGTTTATGCTAAGCATCACAGTGACACCTACATGTTGCACATCATTTTTTTCAGCAAGCACTCTGCTACACTTCAAATGTATCCCATAATTATTCTTATCATTTTTCTACATAAAATATCACATCAAACAGGGGATATCTCAGTTTTTTAAAGGAATTTGACCGGGTCTTTAGTACGAAACTATCCCCTGCCATCCTGTGAAGCAACAGTAAGACTTAACAAAGAATCAGAGGAACCAACAACAGTAAGACTTAACAATCAGAGGAACCAACAATAGTAAGACTTTACAATCAGAGGAACCAACAACAGTAAGACTTTACAATCAGACGAATCAACAACAGTAAAACTTTACAATCAGACGAATCAACAACAGTAAGACTTTACAATCAGACGAATCAACAACAGTAAGACTTTACAATCAGAGGAATCAACAACAGTAAGACTTTACAATCAGAGGAACCAACAACAGTAAGACTTTACAATCAGAGGAATCAACAAAAGTAAGACTTTACAATCAGAGGAATCAACAACAGTAAGACTTTACAATCAGAGGAACCAACAACAGTAAGACTTTACAATCAGAGGAATCAACAACAGTAAGACTTTACAATCAGAGGAACCAACAACAGTTTAAACAAAGAATCAGAGGAGAAATGGAGGAACCAACAACAGTAAGACTTTACAATCAGACGAATCAACAACAGTAAGACTTTACAATCAGACGAATCAACAACAGTAAGACTTTACAATCAGACGAATCAACAATAGTAAGACTTTACAATCAGAGGAACAAAGAACAGTAAGACTTTACAATCAGAGGAACCAACAACAGTAAGACTTTACAATTAGAGGAACCAACAACAGTAAGACTTTACAATTAGAGGAACAAAGAACAGTTTAAACAAAGAATCAGAGGAGAAATGGAGGAACAGAACCAACAACAATTAGACTTAATAACAAAGGGTGAGAAGAGAAATGGGGGTGAAAATCTAAGGGGAGGAAAGTAAATGAGCAAAGGGACATGAGGAAATGCTTAGATCATTGAAAAAAATTGAGGAGACTAGGCAAATAATGAAAATGCCAAGACATGGAAAAAAGAGACAAGGAGCGTGTTTTAAACACTGTAAATGAAATACATTTCATGATTTTGAATTCATGGGTGTGGTAAAAAAAAAAAGCTCAAAAAGCTCAAAAGTCTATTCAAACAATACAAATTGGGAGCAGAACAAACACAGACCTCTAAAATCATCAGAGGTGGGATCAAGTGCCATGGAGGAGTAAACATCCCCTGTCAACTGGTAACTCCCACCATGTGCTCTTTCTCATGACAGAAAAATCCATAGAAAATCCAGTATGTTATGATACTTCTGCATATAAATCATAAAATTCCCCTACTTTCACAGTCAATTTTAGGGGGTTAACAGGTACATTTACATGAAAAGGAATCTGACAAGCCACCAAGAAATTTTAAACAAAAAAGATCACTTGATGCGCTCTCATTTGAGGGGCTTATGATTGCTGGAAAATTAGGGAATTTACTATGTGATGTGATGTAATTCAGTTAGTGGACTACACCCAAATAAAAATATTTTGCATTGATTTCATTTATATCTATTGAAGTGGAAACAGTTATGTGAAATGTGCTGAGTATTTCTTTACAGTTTATCTGATTAATGAAAATGAACTTCTCTTTGGGTGTGAATAATACACTCTAAAATGCCAAACCTCCAAAATATACATAAGGAGATCAACTTTAACTAGTTTAGACAGCTAGCATTAATTATAAATTGTGGTTCATTGAACATTCAGTTCTTGGTTTTCTGTCATTTAGAATTCTCAGTATATAAAGTACATCCTTTATTGTATACTATTCTGAAGAGCTCTCTTCTACCAATGGGATGAAGTTTTACATTCCTACTGGAACTTGATTTTTGTATTAAGAAATAAGGATGGGTATCGCCAAAAATTTCGTATCGTGATATATCACGATTTTTTTCTCCAAAATATCACGATAATATCGGGATTTTTTTACACGGAATTTTTACTACAATTTCTAATGAATTTCTATATTTTTTTTACAAATACGCTGTAAAAACATAACTTCAGTTTTCTCCATTTTAATTTATATAATAAAAATCATGTTTGGATGCCGTAGTTTAACATTTTTCAACATTTTTTAGACTCTCTGTAATTTTTATTTAATAGTTCGAAGATATAAATAAATAATTTCTGGAATTTTTAATTATGTACCAAATACCGGTATTTTAGTCTCCATATTACGATACGTATCACGCAATAAAAAATGACGATATACCGGTATACCAATAAAATCGCGCATCCCTATTAAGAAAACTCTGAATCTGAAGAAAATGATATGGCAATCATTTCTTCAAAGATGTATAATCAATTACAAAATTTCTGCAGATTAATTCAAGGTATAAAAATCTATATGTCCAGTTGAATTTTGCCTATACTTCATAATCTAAGATAAAGACCAAGTTAAAAATAACTGTTCATGAATTTGA